GTTATTCCAATATTCAAGAAAATAATAATCCTTGCACTTACATAAGAACAAAACAAATGCTTGACGACAAAAAGACCACCGTCCATATAGTTCGCCTTCCACCTTCCTGGCAGCCCCATGCACGTGTATGTCCCAAACTACCTATGTACGACATCTCATAATGTTATCTCCTAAAAGAAAACTATCTCAAAGCGCTTCACAGAATAGTGGCAAAACTGAACCTGGCAACTATGGACTCATTAGCTCGAACTGAATAGTAGGAAAAGTTATGCACTCAATCATCAGAAAGAATGGAAGCAAGTCAGAGGCGCCTAGTGGCGGAAGGTCCACCTGCCGATGGTGGCGGACAAAGTAAAGGACATGGAGTAAGGCCAGTGTCAGCCAAGTGAAGGGAATGGCCAGGTTTCTAAGGGTGAAGGAGGCGGCAGAGGCCGAGTACGGCGAGCACATGAAGGGATTTAATGGTGAAGATGAGAATCTTGAACTCTATCCACTGGCTGGCCATGTCAGTGGAGCCAAGCAAGGATTGGGTGAGAGGCTTGCAAAGCCAGGTATGGGGGAGGACATGGGCTGCAGAGTTATGGATCATCTGCAGCCTGTGCAGGGAAGAGCTGGTGAATCTGGCAAGCCGATAGTTGACATAATCGAGCCTGGGTCTGAAAGGTGGGGATCAGCATCCTGATGTCCTGGGGGAAAGGCGATAGCTGAGGTGTGGAACACAATACAAAATTGCATTTGGATAAAGCCTTTCAAGTTGGGAGGACGTCCCAAGGTGCTGGATAGTTGCAAGGTGTGGGGAAAGGTGCTGGAATATTGCAAGGTGTGGGGAAAGCTGAGTGAATAAAAATGGAGATGTGCAGTTTGCACGACTTTGTTTGGGGGCCAAACATTTCATATAAATAGTTGCATATGAGGCAGGGGTGGATGATAATTGAGAGAAATTACTTTCACTGCGTTAGTGATTGGAGGGCAACAATTTGATTATTACAAAGGTTTTTTAATATACTATAATATATATTTTATTTGTATATATATATGTGTGTGTGTATGTTTATATACACATATATAATATAGATTATGTGAAATGCCCTGTGGATCCCATACTAGTTTTCAAGAGGGAACTAGCTAGATATCTTAATATTTCCAGACATACAGGGAATGGGCAGGTAAATGAGACTGAATCGATTGCTTTTTCAGAGAGCCAGCCAAGGTTGAAATTTGGAGCTTGAGCTGGAAGAAGGTAGAGGGAGGTGATGGTTTTGAAAGAAAAAAGAAAGGGAGCAAAGATGAGGGATTTGGGAAGAGTTTGAGACACCTAAAGTTCACCCACCAATGGAGTGGGTAAGGACATAAGTGGGTTGAGTCGACACAGCAGAGAGAGAAGTAAGTTTCCTCAAATCAATGTGTTTATTGTCGCACATACTTTTCTCCGTGTTTTCTGTGTGTCATTTATTTTCCGATTCTTGTTCCCCGCCTTCTTAATTCTGAGGTGCGGTTCCACTGACATCAGCAGGAATATTGGCTGATCAGACTTGGATTAACACACTCTAGAATCAGCAGTATGTTGATGGATTCATTGCAGAAATTTCTGGCTGTCCTGTATTTTAGATTCAAAACGTCAGAGGCTCAACATTTAACTCGTCCCAAGCTTCAGAAAAATTGTCCTGCGAATCGCAGAGAATTATGGTGCTGCTGCAGAGAAGTATCAGGGACTTATCCAAATGGAGGGAAATAAAATTCCAGGCTGTTCCCTTGCACTACCTCGTCCCTGTTTTTTCAGGGATGGTGGTCTCGCGCTGGTAGCAGATTGCTGGAGACCCGGTTAGTGCATGAACTGAAAGACCCAAGCAATGGAGAGGAAAATATCCCAATGGATTAAATAAAAGTTCTGACTTTTCCCTACTTATTCCACATAACTAAGTGCTGGTTGCGGCAAAATCCATATTGGTGAATAGCTTAAAAAGAGTCAGCCACAAAGGTTTGGGAAATGGCAGGTGAGTGGGACTGAAAGGATTTCTCTTGAGGGAGCTGGCACAGATACGATGGGCCGACTGACCTTTTTCTGTTCCGTGAATTTCTGTGGCTCTATATCAAGTAATAACCATATAATACTCTTAAAACAAGGTTAAGTTAAACATTTGTAAAGATTTGTGTTAAAATTTACAGCTGGCCCCGATTTTTAAATCAACAACAACAACAACTTGCAATCATATAGCGCACTGCAGGTCTCAGGCTGCTTGATGGCATTAAAATTAAAGGCAGTCCTACTGATAAAGGAAGAATAATCTGCAAGCAATCAGGATATCATTGTATCCTTGTGTTTTTTCCCACAGCTGATCTCTGTCTTATGACATTGAGTCATCACATGAGTTGGGAGTCACATGAGACCAACATGGCACACCTTAATTACAGTGCTGTTTGGAATGAATGCCTTCCAAAAAGCTTTTGTACTGGCGAGTGTCTCCTGTTGAATGATTACAGAAATGAGATAAACTGGCAATAAATGCATGTGAATTAACCCTTGCATAGCACATCAGCCAGTGGATTTTTCAGTGCACTTTTTAAAAAGCATTTCCAATGAATTCATCCCAAACTTTCAGAACTTCTTTATCAATCTCATAAAGTAGAGCATTGTTTTTTTTTTAAAAAAAAGAGTTGCTCGGTGTATAAGAACGTAGCAAGAGATCAGAACTTGAGTATAACACTGTCTTGATCTCCACCCACCATGGCTGAGAATAAATTACAGCATCACCTTTTACTGGGGCATCATATAATGCAGCACGTCCATTTTATCCCAAGTGGGTGTTGGTCTTCAGGTAGCAAGTAAAATGTCATTGAGCAAGCAAGCTGTTCAACTTCAGCAGCCTGCTTGCAGGGTGGCTATAACCTCAGGTCAAATCGATTTTTAAAGTAACCCTTACATTTGCTATAGTTCCTTTCACGACAGGAATTCATCTCAAAAGTGCAAATAATGTAACGTGTAATGTATGCCGTAGGTCAGTGTGTTCTTAACAGGAAGCCTGAGTGGGTGAATTTTTTTTCCGGCCTGAGACTATTTCCAACTTTCCCTCACTCCCTCCCTCCCTCCCTCCCCGGCCACCGTTCCTCATGACAGCAGCAGGAGCCGGCAGTTGGGAGGACTCAGCGGGGAGAGTGGAAATTACGCTGACCGTTGCTACAGTCTGTCAGGAAGGCCAGGCTGTCGCTTTATCCACCGGGTCCTTACCAACCGTTGGCTCCTGCCGCTGCAGGTAGTGAGATACTGATTGAGAGAAAGAGGGAGCGAGGGATTGAGGAGAGGAGAGAGTGTGTGTCTACAGAGGAGAGTGACTGTGTGTGAGCAGAGAGAGTGGGAATGATGGTGGGGCTGGAATGAAGGAAGAAGAGATGTCCTTTCATAGGGGGGGAATCTTAAACCCTTTTTGCTTACAAAAATGTTGTAGAGTTGCTCATTACAAAAATAGCCAGACACTACACTCTACAGTAGATCCTGTGAATTGCATTGATGCATTCAACACTTCAACCTGGTTATTAGTCAAGATTTGTATATCCTTCCAAAGATTGAGTGCCCAAAATTAAACACGGTACAGGGCTCCAAATTAGGTCTGACCAATGCACTATATAACTGGAGGGGCACATCCTTACTTTTATATCCTGGACCTCTTGCAATAAATGGCATTATCTTCATTTGCCTTATTGACAGCTTTCTGTACCTGTGAATTAAGAGTTTAATCTATGAATTTGAACCCTTAAATCTCTATGTTCATCTTCACCTCCTAGTAGTTCCTCATTTAGAACACACACCCAACCACTATTCTTCCATCTCAAGTGTACCACTTCACACTTTGCAATGTTAAACTCCATTTGCCACAGTTCTGCCTCTTGCTTAATCTTTACATTTTTCATCTGTCCTCTTCACATTTTCAACACCTCTTACCGTAATGTCATTCATAAATTTGTTGAAACTTAACTCCACAGGGCTCTGTTTACCTAACAGTAAGTAGGAACCCAGTTATTAGTTGATTCGTGGATTGTTTTCCAGAGGTAATAATCCTTTCAAAAAATAAATACATAAATTTGGTCACTCAATCCACGACTGTTTGTGGGACGCTGCTGTGCACAATTGGCTGCCGCGTTTTGCCCACAAAATATACAGTCAATTCACTTTGCAGTGTAATCTTCGCAGATTTTTATTTGGGAACAAAGCAAACATAATGGTTTGGTCAAAAGTTGAAGTCTGGTTTTATTTCCACGCTTATTCTGTGTCGAAAGAAGAAATATCTTTGTTTCTTGGTGTCAGCCAGTGTTGTGTACAATCCTAAACTGCATCTTATTTGTTGCATTGTGTTACACAACAGGCACCGAACAAGTGTTGTTGTGTTTTGCTGTGAGAATGTGCTCTGCGTTTGTTACTGAGAGAAATAATGGAAATTAAAGGGTTCCATTGCAGGAGTATTGACACTAGGGGGCTTTGGCATGCGATGATTGGAAGGCAGATTTCTCTGTAGACCAGGTGATAACACACAGAGAGCCTTGGATCACATGATGGCTTGCTTTGCAGTCAGCAGAGGCTCAATATCAGTGCTGCCGTGCATCAAGAAATGTGATTATAGGGGTGGGCGGGGGTGGGGGCGGAGAGTTAGGGAAAGGTAATTTTGATTTGGTTCCCCTTATTAACGATTATCTAGATGCCTAACAACTTAGAACTGGAAACAGTGCAGCACGCAGAGCAGCGAATCGCTAGGATCTGTAGTGCGGAGGCAAGTAACGAGTTCAGTAAGAATTAAACCGAACGAGATCTCAGTTGTGACCGTGTCTCTGAGGATCTGTATGGTCGTGAGCGGGCGTCTGTTATTTCTGTGCTGCACAGCAGAGGATGGAAATGCCTTTGATAGCGTGCTGTTCATATTTCTGTGTATGTCACCTGACAGCCTTGTGCTTCAGGATGAATCTAATACAGAGCTATTATTAGGAAGAGTTGGCAAGCAAATCGAGCTTCCTCTGGATTACACTGTCTGCTTTGCCACGGGACAATGATGCCGAGGTAAACATTACTTTAATACTCAATCGACAGCTTTTCTAGAATTGTTTGAAATTCTCGTTGCAAAACCATTATTCGAGAATCTTTTGACCGTATTGCACGTTGCCACAGCAGCTGTAAAATGTTCCTAGGAATATGAAATGCGAACGTCAATTTGATTTTGTTTGCAATTGCGGGGAGGGATTATTTTCAACCCAAGATTCAACTATCAACATATTAATTTTTTTGAAAAACATGCTTTGAAATGTCAGACTGCTTTATGTCTGATTGCAAAATGCCTCTGATAGTTGAGAGAGATTTATTAGTGTGTTTATGGAATCGCATGTGTTTTTAAAAAAAACGTGTTGGCTGCAAAAACGTACTAAAAGCCAAACTTTTTGGATTGATGTTAACAGGAAGAGTCCAAAGTATTCTGTCATAGCAAACTGCATGTAATTGGGACGCCCCTGGATGATGGCTACAGAACCCGTATAATTACGCATTGGATTATGTTTTAATTGAATATTTCAGAAAGCATATTCCTTGGTATTTGTCAGCTTGGCTCAATTGGGGTGGTATTTTCTTCTCTGGGTAAGAATTTGCGGGTTGAAGCTGCACATTGGGATTTGAAGTTGTCATTTAGGCTAAACCTCAGTGCAATATTGAGGGGCACTAATATTGGAAAAGGGATATAGCGTCTTATCACGTTGTTTAGACGTCTCAAAGCGCTTCACAGAATATATTGTAAAGTGTAGCGACTGTGTATTTTGTGGGTGAAATGTGGCTTATTTATTTTTATATATATACACACACACACACACAGACAGACTACTGATCGGATATGGACTTGCCTAGAATCGTGCGAATGTTTGGAGTGGGGGGGGGAGGTCCCTGGGGGCTACAGGTCGGCCACTGGTGTACGCAAACCTTTTACAATCCAACAATAATAACTTGATCACTTACTCAATGACTGTTTGCGGGACACCGATGTGCACAATTGGCTGCCGCGTTTCACCCAGAAATCATTCAGTCAATTCACTTTGCAGTATATTCTGTGAGGCGCTTTGAGACGTCTCGAAGATGTGATGAGGCGCTGTATCAAACGCAAGGATTATTATTATTGTTGTCAGTCGAAGTTCTGTTGATTCTCCGTGCCCAGATGCACTGCCACATTCGTCAGCTTCATGGCAACCTCCCTGTGCCAACTGGTGATAGCAAAATAGCCTTATGAAATAATCATTTAGGCACGTTTAAAAGAAAAAAATCTTTTGTAAAATCTTGAGAGCAGTTTTTTTTGTGGGGGTGGGGAGAGGAGAACTTGCTTTCAGATCATGCTGATAAACATCTCTCAGTGCTTCCTGTTGGTGATTTGCAGTGTTGCAAATCTGTCTAGGTTTTCTTATCTGGAGCAAGTCGTTTATTAATTTGCTTTACCTGGTGATAACCCTTATCCAGCTGGAACCTGGCACTGCCAGCTTGGCGCAGTGGTAGCGCTCTCGCCTCTGAGTCAGAAGGTTGTTGGTTCGAGTCCCACGTCATGGGCTGGGTCCGGCCCGAGATCATTTCCAACATTCCAACTTCCACTCCCTCCAACGATTAATATGCTGTGCAGTTTCCTGATAGAAAGCTCTCTCATTTCCCCAGTGAAAACCTTCTGTACATCCTTCATTACTCCCCCACCCTACTTCTGCAATCTCCCAAGCCAGCCGTTCCCTTTGCCCAGCAAACACTGACTTGCTTCATGTCCCTCCACTCCACCTTCTGCCCCACCATTGCTATTTTGTCCCCGCTCTCTGAAGTCCCATTCCTGGAATCCCTCCGACTCCCTCTCTCCCTTCTTTCCAGACACGTCAAGACCTAACTCTTTGACCGGGTTTTCGTTCATCTTTGAGATGGCCACCCACACATGAAAAAGATGCTTTTTAGATGTTCTGGTTCTGGAAGGGAAACATAAAATATTCTTTTATGCGGCTCACAGAGCTTTCTAGGGAATCTGACCCAGGGCAGCCAAAGGGTTGGACCACCCTGGTCTAAGGTGAGCTGACACTCCAATGCACCCCCAATCTGTCGATAGTTGGAGGTGACGTCCTTCAGATGAGACATTAAACCAAGTTCCTCTCTTCTTGTTCAGGTGGACATTAAAAATCCCTTGGCACTATTTGAAAAGCGAAGGGATTTTCTCCGGGGTCCCGGCCAGCAATCCCCCAAATAAAAAATTGGTCATTCGCGTGTTTCGTGACTGTTTGTTTCACTTCAACCAGTTCAAGTCAGTCAGGCAGTTCGTCTGGTTACCCCATTGCAAAACTTGTCTTGCTGCTATGTAATCTTGCAGAGGAGTATCTCATTTTGTGACACGAGATGATAAGTGAACTTTTGTTCGTTCAAGGTGGAGTTTATGGCTGATGTCCAGAATAACTCTTGTGTGTCTGTGTGGTGCGTGTGTGTCTGTGTGCCTGCGCGGGCTTGCGTGCATGTGTGTGCGTGCACACACATATGTGGGCATGTTTGTCGGTTTGTGTTAAAGTGGCCGATGAAAGTGAGAACGACGAGCCTATTTCGGTTGTTTCATGGCCACCTTGTAAGTTTACGCTGGACCTTTGCGCTTAGTTGAAAGACTTTCATGAGTATAGAATGGACGCGAGGTCAGATGCAGGAAAGGAAAAGATCACGTGCCAACCCCACTGCACACAAGTCCTCTGGTTTTAATTTTCTTGACAATAGAGATTTTACTTGTGGTGCTGTATGTAGACTGTATGCAATGTTGTATTTGGAATGCAGACGAGTGGGTACCAAAATTATATAAATAAAATCTAATCATGAAAATGCATATTGTAGCTTTGTGCTAACTGGTGGGTGCCATTGCTATCACTTGACACACTGTGCTTTGTTTATCCCCCAACAATTTGCTGTATTGTGCTGAGTCTGTTCTCCGCATTTCTTTCACTGCTATGGCTGAGAAATGCAAAACACTTAAAGGAGCTGTTTGTTCTGATGTGCTAAAAATACAGAAATACGTTAAATCCTGCATCGAATCTAAGGATCATCAGTCAGTTTTTGTCCACAAAACAATAACTAGTCTTTTTTTGTCTCTTTTTCTATCAAATGGGAGAACATCGGGGGAGGGGGGGGTGGGAATGTAACAGAAATATTTGACATTTTGTGTGAAATCTTTATCCTACATCATTATGGGTTCCTATGGTCAATTTAAACTGTCACTTCCTCAGGAAAGTCTGCGAGTGGTCAGATAAGATCCTTGTTGGTTGTCATATATTAGATGCTTTTATGCAGGTAATCTTCCACTTCCTTTCTGATGATTCCTGGAACCCACTCGCCCGCATTTTAGCGCTCTGGGACGCTACCCCGCACGAAGGGAGCTATATAAGTGCAAGTTGTTGTTGTTGTTGCATGGGTATTGCATCGTGCACATACCCCCAGAGTTTTGCCTGGTGCCAACAATCCTCCAGATAAAATTGGCCATTCACTTCAGGGCCGTCTGTGGGTTGTTGCTGTGCATTAAGTTGGTTACTGCATTTGCCTGTAAAATAGTCATTACATTTTACAGCAAAATAATGTGAAGCGCTTTGAGACATCCTTGTGATTTGAAAGTTGTTACATCAAATGCTTAAGCAGCTGGTGCTGAGTCAACCTGGTGAGGCCTCAAACCCACTCTTCTCGGTTGTCGAATGACCAACTAGTGACTATCCTCCTTGGGGTGGGTGAGTTAGCAGTGTCTCCTTGGAGCTGAACCGGAAGTGCAGACCAGTCACTGGGGGCAGGGAATCATCCCTCTCAGCTCCTACGAACCCTGGAAGACAAAGCCCTAACGGGTAGGTTGATCCTTGCTGGACAAGCAGTGGGAAAACTTGCCGGACAGTGATGCTATGCGGTTTTAACTGGTTAGACTCCAGCAGTTACCCCCAATGCACACTCTGGGGTTCCCCCAAGCTGTGGTTCTGGCCAAACTGCGCCTAATACTTTCCGAAATTGAGTAAACAGGATGCGTCCCTCCAGGGAGAGAGTGCACATTTCATTCCAACAATCTATCTCTGGAATTTTCATTAGTAGGTAGGATGCATGGAAATCTCAGCTTGGTTTGGATACTCTTAAGCACTGGTGGCTGTCAATGATCTATGTTACGTTTCAATAAAAGAGAATACACAGTAAGAAATTGTAGAACTGCGTTGTCTCCTTTTGCATTGCATTTGAACATTTTAACTCCAGCTTCACATTCACACTTGATTTTTTTTTAAACACACAAGTTCACTGACTGACCTGCACCGTTCATATATCGATGTGTGTCAAGCTGGCTCAGTGGTAGTGCTCTCGTCTCTGAATCACAAGGTTGTGGGTTTAAGCCCCATGTTGGGAATTGGAATGACGTGGTCTAAGCAGATGCTCCAGTGCAGTCCGTTGCATTGTCGAAGGTGCCGTCCTTCGGATGAGAGGTTAAACCGAGGTCCCATCTGCCTGTTCAGGTGGATGTTAAAGATTTTAAAGAGAACGGATTTTCTCTTCCTCGGTGTCCTGGCCAATAATTCCCCCCAGATAAAATTGGTCACTCGCTCCCCGGGTGTTTGTAGATCATGACTGTGAGCAACTGGCTGCCGCATTTTGCCTACAAAGTCACTCCACTTTGCAGTATATCCTGTGAAGTGCTTTGACACGTCACAACGACCTGTTATGGCGCTATATGAAATGCAAGGATTATTATTAACAATGTGGAGATAATCTAGGTTCAGACTTTTTTAATAAGCACCATAAATAGTTTTTTTTTAATTCTTCCCTTTATAAGTCTTGATTCTTTCAAATCTACTCCTAAAGCAAACCTCGCAATGCATGGCTGACATTCTACACTGTGAAGGAAAACACCATCGGTGTGGCATTATATCAGGTGTTCCCATGCAAAATGTCCATAAATCTTTACATGTTGTTTATCTACCAAAGATCATAAGTCTGACAAATATTGCACCAATATTGAGGATAATGATACCGCGTAAATCTTGGAGTAGTTTTGCTGTACTTTTAAGATTTGTCCACAGTCTGAGCACATTACAAAAGATGAAGCTGCAATGAATTAATAATAATAATAAAAATAATCCTTGTGTTTGATATAGCGCCTTATGTCATTGAGACGGCTCAAAGCACTTCACAGAATGTATTGTAAAGTGAATTGACTGCATATTTGGACAAAACCCAGCAGCTGATTGCACACAGCAGTGTCCCACAAACAGTCTTGGATTTATTATTATTTACTAGACATTTTTGAGATGAAGATAATCAGATTTTTCACTTTTTAAGAGCCCTACACACCATGCCAGCAAAGCCTGCCGCCACCTACATTCACAACCTTGAAAACGGAAATGAACTTATTCCCTTAAATGGAGGGCAAACTTTCGAGATTCTACATTTGCACAGCACAACATTTGGTACAATCGAAGCAAGAGATTACAGGCTTGCGGTCTGCATGGTTTGGTGCGGTCTCCTTACTCTGCTGAGCTAATGGTAGGTGTTGCTGTAGCATCCTAGCAAGTTATATTGGAATACAAAGTACTCTGTGCTTGAGATCTATTAATAATAAGCAGATTTTGTTGTAAATCCTGGAAGTAGATTTCATTATTTTCTTTCCCTTCCATCCTTCTAGCTGGCCATCTCCAGAGTTTGATCCCAGCCAAATTAGACTTATCGTCTACCAGGATTGTGAACGGCGAGGAAGAAATGTTTTGTTTGATTCTAAAGCAGCAAAGAAAACTGAAGAAGGCTCAGCTTCAGTAAGTCTTGTTTGTTTGCTCTCTGATGCATATCCCAGGGTAACAGCGGCCAGGTTTGTGTATGAATTGATGGTGTTCAGTTGCTGTTAGACCTTTTTAGGGTTGTCGTGGAGGGATTTGCCCATTATATAGTGCAGTGCATGCTTCTAGAAATATTGTTTTTCTCATTGTGTAGGTAAGAAACCTGATTTTGGTTCGAGAAATGATTTGATTATTGTCAAAACCCATCAAAGTCACTTTTTTTTAAATTCACAAACATTTTTTTTAAGAAAAAGTTTTTAATCTTCAGGATATATTTTGAGAAAATTGTGAAGCAAAATGTAATTCCGCAAAATTTCAGAATTTGGGCAAACTGCAGACCTTGACGTTTTGCACAACTCTGCGATGCACTGCTTGCTCTCTTCTCTCCCTGCTCGCAAAGCTTCAATAACATTATTTAATAATGCATAACACAGTACAGCAGTTATTATATAAAGTACAATTCTGATATTAGACTCTGTTTACCTAGCAGTAAGTAGGAACCCGGTTGTTAGTCGATTGGCGGATCGCTTTTCCGGGGATAATAATCCTTAAAAAAAAATAATAATTTGGTCACTCAATCAACGACTGTTTGTGGGACGCTACTGTGCAGAATTGGCTGCCATGTTTCACCCACAAATGTACAGTCATTTCATTTTACAGTGTATTCTGTGAAGCGCTTTGAGACGTCTCGAAGACATGAAAAGCCCTATATCAAATGCAAGGATTATTATCATCATCATTATTACAGGTTTCACACTTGCTAATTTTAAATCAACATTCGGTAATTTTTTATCTGATTCATTCTATTCTTTTGGAATAAAGTTTGTGTATATTTAGCATTTACTTGTCTTCGGCTTTCACGGCTGGTAACCTTAAAAAGGGAAGTATTTGTACAAACACATTTTTTTTTTGAAAAAATTACAAATGGTGACTTAAAAAGAATATTTGTGCTTTTTAAGCTTATCTTGTGATATGCATTTTAAAGTTGGAAGCCACTGAACTATTAAGGTGTGCACTCTAACCTCAATGACAAACTGCAGACCTTCATAATTTAAAAAAAACACATTAAATTCCTGACGAAGAGACTACAACCACAACAAAATTACATTTGTAAAGCGCCTTTCAGGTCGGGAGGAAGTCCCAAAGCACTGAGACCTGCATCGCACACAAAATATTCAGTCAATTCACTTTACAATATATTCTGCGAAGCACTTTGAGACGGCTGGAAATGTGATAAGGCGCTATATCAAATGCAAAGATTATTATCTTCTAGACTGGGAGTTTGCTACTTTGAATCCTGGTGTTTGCTGGTCTCAAGGGGAATTGTAAAGGAAGGGAATACTTGTCTCAGGCATCCCAAGGTTAGGGAGACTGAATATCAGATGGATTTACTTGTCCCGCTCCTCTTTACCTCTCGACTGGTATTGTGCGTGTGTGGCAGCTCAGCTGTGACCTGTACAAACACGCATACAAAAAGAGGGTGAATAGAGTCCAAGTAGATGTCAGTTAAGTTGAACTGAGTGTCTGAGACGTGCTTCACTAATAATTTCTCCAAGTGTTAATATGATCAGTAAATTGGACAAGTTAGTGAGTTGTGTGGTGTGTTTGTACGTCTGTGTGAGCGGGTCTGGATTCGTTACCCAGGGTAGAGGCCTATAGCTTTTTCCCCTTTTTTTTTCAGTTAGTGGTTGTCACATGAGTGCAGTGCGGTGCCAAAGAACGGTGTTTTGTGGTCAGAGCACTTCCTTTCCAGCTCATGAGTTCTCAAGAAAGTCATATGACTATCATGGCGCTGCAGTACTGTTTGTGAACAGCCCTGCTTCAGCTGGAACTTTAGCAAACAACAAACACTGCTTGGGAGCAAGATCATGCAATTCAGTTTTTTTTTTGGGAAAAAACCTCTTAATTGAAGTGGAAATCTATTCTCATTACAGAGCAGCTTCTGAATAGTGTAGAAATCAACCGTTGTGCATGTTAAGATAATTAGATACAGAATTGAGTTGCAGACCGGATCCGTGATTGTTTAAGAGGGAAAGACGACAGAAGATGAGCTGGTTTGGGACAACGTGATGCCCAACCAGGTTTCTGGGAGGATTTTTGTGTAATTGTGAAGATACGAGTTGCTTAACACTGTTTATCTTGGGGATCATTGCAAAGAGGAATTTATTTTGAAAGGTAACCAATAAAGCAGCTCAGTTTGTCACCATCTGTTTCCAGTGCCCTGGGATGTCTTTCCGATGTTGTTGGTGGTGTTGTTGCCCCTTCCTGTTCTGCTCTTGATCAAATACAATTCAAATAAAATGCACAAGGGGTTGGTTATCATGATAAACACAGCATGTTGCCTGCTTTTCTTTTCTCAATATTTTCTGCTTTTAATTTTATTTCCAACGTTTGCTTTTTTTTGGACTGTTTTTTTTTAAAAGCTGATTTAGCACAACTTAATACAGTTTTCAAACACTTCCCCTGTTAACAGAAAGTTTGCAATGATATACAAGCAAAGATTTTAGAGAAATACTGTCAAGCGAGATGTGGTGGATGTGCCAACCCTTCACCCGCTTCCAGCCCTCAAGAACACCCCAACAAATGCCAGGTAAGGCACTCTGAGATGTGTGTACTGTGTATATGCATTGCAATAAAATGTATATAGAACTTCTAAATTAGCTCTCTTTTCCTCCCAAATATTTCAATTGATTTTCAGTATATTCTGGTCTGTATACAGGATATTCTGGTCTGTATCCAGAGTATTCGTTTGGGAGTTGCTCAAAATGGATCAACGAATGGAGTGATATGCAGTACAATTTTATGTAATAATCCTTGCATTTGATATCGCGCTTTTCACATCTTTTCGACGTCTCAAAGCGCTTCACAGAATATGCTGTAAAGTGTATTGACCGTATATTTGTGGGCAAAATGTGGCAGCCAATTGCACACAGTAGCGTCCCACAAACGGTCATGGATTGAAAATGACCAATTTATTATTGTTGTGTTTTAGATTATTATTAGGCGGGAGGAGTAAGAAACTTGCCCAAGGTTTCGCCCTGCCTGGAATTGAATCCAGGTGCCTTGCAAGCGCTCTAGCCACTAAGCTACTGTACTCCTTCCTTCCCCCCTCTCTCTTCCCCACCCCCCCCCCCACCCCCTCTCCTCGCTTGCTCCTTCTCCTTTCCCTCTCAGGCGTATAAATTAGCCTTGTTATCAACGCCTTGGGACGTCCTCCTGATGTGAAAGGCGCTATATAGATACAAGTGTTGTTGTTGGGAGTGCTGATCATAAGTCTCCAGCTGTACCATGATGTGATACCACAACTGGAATGAAATAGAAACTGGACTTGAAAATGCTGGAAGATAAACATCGCACAGTCTGAGCGATTGAGAGTGGAAATTCCAGAAAAGAAGTCTGCGGAACCTTCTCTGTGAAGCACAACGCTCTACGGAGTCCTGTAGTTCAGTGGTTAGAGCACTCGCTTTGCAAGCGAGACACCTGGGTTCAATTCCAGGCAGAGGGCGAAACCTTGGGCAAGTTTCCTTACTCCACACAGAGCCTAATAATAATCCCTCCAAAACCCAAAAACAATAATAAATTGGTCATTTTCAATCCACGACTGTTTGTGTGACATTGCTGTGCGCAATTGGCTGCCGCGTTTGCCCACAAATATACAGTCAATTCACTTTACAGTGTGTTCTGTGAAGCGCTTTGGGGTGTCCTCCCGACGTGAAAAGCGCTATATCAAATGCAAGGATTATTATTATTATTATTACGTGGCTGGTTGGAATCTACACAGGCCGATGACGACGCAGGGACCTCGACACTGCCGATAAAGGAAAGGAAAACTGCAAGATATGAGGATGTGGAGGATGTGTTTGGTGGCTGCGTGGTTTCACGAAAAACTCGCCAGAAATCCCACCATCGTAATTGATCGTGACGTGTTCACTGAATTGTTCCAATTCACTTTACAGTATATTCTGAAGCGCTTTGAGGCGTCTCGAAGATGTGATAAGCCCCTATATCAAACGCAAGTATTGTTGTTATTATTATGTCTCGCTTCGAGGAATGGAAGGCCCGTTTCCAGGAAATTCTGCGGGACTATAATTCGGACCATATTTATAATGCTAACGAGACCGCCTTGTTTTAAGTGCCCCTCTTACTGCATTAAAAGTCAACCGGGTACTGGGGAGTAAACGGCGTAAAGATGTGTGTCAATTTTGGTCACCACCAACACGACTGGAACGGATAAGCTACAGCTTCTTGTAATAGGTGAAATTATTTGATGTAGAAAGATGGCAGTGGCTAAACCGAATGAGAACATTCCAAACCAAATCTTTTTTTTCTCCCTGGTTTTTAAAAAAAAATTATGGGCAGGTGCAATAAAATACAAATTTAAGGTTCAAACCCATCAATGGTTCGAAACCAACAATGTCTGACGTATATACCAATCTTGCCCAGTGAATACCTTTTGATAAATTAGAGCATTTTTCTTTTATAATAATAACAATCCTTGCATTTGATATAGAGCTTTTTCACGCCTTCTAGACGTCTCAAAAGCGCTTCACAGAATACACTGTAAAGTGAAATGACTGTATATTTGTGGGCGTAACACGGCAGCCAATTGTGCACCGCAGAGTCCCACAAACAGTGGATTGAAGTTATTTTTATTTGATTTGAATTAATTTTATTTTTCAGAATTCTCGGCCATCCTCAGATGCCAACATGCTGGGTGAGATGATGTTTGGCTCTGTGGCAATGAGTTACAAAGGTTCCACATTAAAAATCCACCAGATACGGTAAGAGGACTTTATTTTATTTTAAAGGGCTGTGAATACTCCACATCGCTAAATTATTGGAAGTTTCCAGAGTCAGGTTTTTATTTAAAAATCGAACCTTTCTGATTTGCACCTACACCACATCTGTGCCATGACTCATTCTGCTTTCCCCACGTCAGCAACATTGGCCGACTCCCCCACTGCCTCTCCTTTCAGGCCACTGAGACCCTCATCCACACATTCATCATATCCAGGCTTGACTATCCTAACTCACTGCTTGTTGGCCTTCCCGACTCTTCCCTCTACAAACTGCAGATTATCCAGAACTCTGCAGCTCGTGTCCTCTCCCGCACCAGGTTCCATGACCCTATCACCCCCACCCTCGCCCCGGCTCCCTGTCCCCCAAAGGATAGAGTTCAAAATCCTTCCCCTCAAAGTTCTCCACAGCCTTTGTGTCTGATAATTACACATCGACCTGTCCGCTCTCTCTGCTCAGAGGGTTCCAGCCTGCTCCATGTACCTGGCCCGGCCTGCCCCACCATCAGCAATTGGATCATCAGCCTCACTGCCTCCAAACTTTGGAACTTCATTCCACAGTCCCTTCGCCCCCCCCCTCCCTTAAGGCCCATTTCAAGACCCTCCTCTTCAACCGCACCTTCGGTCACTCACCTACCCCTATCCACCGCTCCTGATCCCATACTCCAGCTCGGGTCCAAATCCCTGACCTCCAGCACCTTGGGATGTCCTCTCAATGCGAAAGGTACGATACAAATTTAATTTGTTGTTGTCCTTAGTTTAACGAGGATATTTGTCTGCCTCGTCCCATGAACCATACTCCGATTCTCTTGCAGTTCTCCACCACAACTGATGCTTAGCAAAGTTTTCACAGCTCGTACTGGAGGCAGTGTCACTGGAAGTTTGAACACGTAGGTACTTTTTATTAAGTAAAATGCAATACATTTTTTGAGCTCGGTGATGATTTAGGTGTTGCGTGTTTGTGGGGTGCAAGGGGAGAGAACTGGTGAGGATTCCATCTTGATTATTCTTCCATGATCCCTGACGGCACCTGTGTGTTGGTGTCAGTTGAGAACGTTTTGGTGGACTTAGGAGTGACGCCACATTGTTTTTGGACAGCCAGTTGACTGACATGAGCAGAAATTCATCACCGTGCTTAAGAGTATCCCAACCAGACAGAGTTCCAGACATGTATGGCACTTCAAGGCATGGCTCAAGACCCTTCTCTTCAACCGTGCCTTGGGCCACGCACCCTGCCCTCCACCCTCCCTTATCCCAACTCTTTTGCAAACCCCCCCCCCAGCTTGGGTCGAATCCCTGATTGTCCAGCACCTCGGGACGTCCTCCAGAAGTAACGTTCCTCAATCGTATTCTCAATCAATTTTACTCAAGATTACTCATCTCTACAAGATGCTTTAAAGATGCCTTGAAACAGCTATTAAAAATCATTTTGGAAGGACAATTAAGATGCCATTGGGTAGAAAGTTGTTCCCTAACATAACTTTTATAGTTAAATTATAATTCAATAAGATTTCCCCTGAATGTTCTCTACTGCATGATGTTGTGATAAAAGATTTGCTCTTTGCCCCAGGAGTTTTGTACATGGGTTTGTTTGATGTTTAACAGCAAATTAATTTTTTGTGTTTTTAAATTGTATTTCAAGATTGCAAGACAGCCTTGAATTTATTAATCAAGATCCCACTGCATCGAAACCATATCCAGACCAAAATCCTCTGCTGAACAATCTTATAGGTAAATAAATTCCGAGTCCAATTCTGAAGTATATGATAAAGTTACAGCATGACTGTTTAGATGTGTTTTACTGGTAAATTTGCTTAATCTGCTGCTTTGGGATTATTTTGAGAAAATAACAAAGGATAAGAAAAGAAACATTCCATTACTGGCAATAAAGTGATAGCTGGGAAGGAAGCATCAGTCCTTTATATCAGTACCATAAGAACACAAGAAAACCCCCCAAAAAAACAAGAAAAACTAGGCAAAAGAAAAGCAAGCTCCATCTAGTTCGCCTTCCACCAACCTTGACATGCCGTGTCCCAAACTATACACTGTATCCTAAGATATTATTTTCCAGCAGAAATCTATCTCATTTGTTCTTGAAACAAACAACTTTTTCTGCTTCCACCGTCTGTCTCCCTAGGGAGCTGTTCCATAACTTTACTACTCGCTCACTGAAGTAATATTTCCGCAGAATTGTCGTGAATTTATCCCCCTTCAATCGCAGGCCGTGTCCCCTGGTTCTACTGTTCACTACAAGATAAAACAGCTTATCATGGTCGACATTATTGATTCCCTTCAGAATCTTAAAGACCATAATCATATCATACCAGATGGAGTTTATTTTTTTATTTTTTTTTGTTTGTGGAATACAAACATAAAAAAAAATGACTGCTATGCATAATGTTTATAATTTCAGCTGTTAGTGTGAGCATTCAGATCGTTTTTTTTGGTCACCAGGTGTCTGACACATCACCATGCTTAAGATTATCCAAACTGGAATGAGTTCCAGAAATATAAGACACCTACACATTGCATCCTGTATTCCTTTCACAACGTTGCATACATAAAGGAGAGAATAGAGAAAAATAGGAGGGTGTTGGAGGGGGAGAGGCCATAAGGAGAGGTTGAGGCTCATGTGTAGTAAACACTGTATGGACATGTTGGCCTGTTTCAGTGCTGTACAGTTGGTGAGTGCCATCCCACCTTTAATAAATTATGTATTCCTTTGAGGTTCCTCTATTCCATTTGGAATTGTACCACACAAGGTGTAATTCTGCTTCCTGTTCTTTCTCTGAAAATTCACTACACGTTTCTCTGTATTGAACTCTTATTTTCCACCAATCTGCACACGCCACTAACTGATCAATATCAATTTAGATATTCCCTCAACTGCTGAATTCAGATGATGTGTTATGATTGTGTGCGTCTGTGTGCGTGTCTGTATGTGTCTGTTTTTTTAATTCTATCCAAAGAGACCGTTTTGGTATTTTCATTCTTTCACTATGAACACTGTATTAGTTTCATAGACAGAACCACTGAAGCAACCCCCCCCCACCAGCCCCCGCTTTCTCTTAAAGATTCTAAATCCAGGAAAACAGTATTAAGCTCTGTCTCGCCCCGACTGTAGCCAAGTTTCTGTTTGGGCAATTGCATCTAACACATCTGCATTTACCAATGCCTCCAGTTTTCTTTTGTTTTCAAAGCTGCTTTGCTAACCTTGATTTATCCTTTACCTTTCCCTCGCCTCCCCCTTCCCCAATACTTTACGACGATGTGGGTTTTCATCTACTTTTTTATGTGGATCAATTTTAGGCAAAAATAAGTTTTTTTTTGAAAAGAAATATATCTTTAGAAATGTTTCTTCCCTCTTAACCCCTCAAAACATCTATGGCTTAGACCTGGATTTCACCAAATACAAACTGCTTAATGTTGATGCACTTTTTTTTGGTAAGTGGAGGTGAAGCTAGTTGGATGTAGGTATTAAACCCACCCTTTTCCTAGTTTAATACGTGTCTGCAACAATGAAAAAGTTGAGTGGCAGTTTGCAAGTAACTGGGCAAAAAGGTGGGATGCAGGGAATCATAGAACTGTAGAGTTATATAGCACAGAAGGAGGCCATTCGGCCCACCGTGTCTGTGATAGAGCTGTCTCGGTTAATTCCACTCCCCCGCTCTCTCCCCGTAGCTCTGCAAATTTGTCCCCCCCGAAAGTTTCACACAATCTGATAACTCCAGGGGAAAAGGGCTGAGTGACGAGTCATCCAGAGTGGTGAGTTAGGCCTATGCGTCCGGATTATTAACAGTGCGAGTTAAATGGTAGTGATGGTTCAGACAGGGTTGAGTTATCAGGAGTTTACCGTATATCCCTGTGAATGCTGTGTACAGGGAGTCCCCTGGGACACTACCCTGCGTGAGGGGCACTATATAAATACATGTTGTTGTTTAGGTATGAGGCTTAATTAAGTACTCTTAACTTAAAAGAATAATGTCTCAGTCGGGTTTCATATTGGACTCCATGTTTTCTAACTTGTACCTAACAGCTTTACTAATCCCAATCTTCTGTCTTGTGTTCTTTTTATTTTTTTTATATAATTTTGCTCTGTAGGTTTTTCACAGCTTTGCAGCCCCAAACGGGTACCTGGTGTCTGTGAGCCTGCTCCGCTCCGCCTGATCAGGAGCGCTTCTTTCTTTGCAGGTTTGCACAGTGTTCTTTGGGTTATGGACTCTAGTTATTGAGCATGCAGTAGATCAGCACATAACAACAGTGGAAATGAGGTTCTTACAATTTTTCTTCTTGGAACAACGAAACCAAACCTCCAAAGGGTTCAAAAGAACAAAAGATTATTTAGTTATGGTAATGCTCATGCCTCCAGAATGATGCTAGTGAATGATAGGTTACCAACTTGTCCGCCTTTATTGGATTAAACGCACTTTGTGAATGTTTTCTCTAATGAGGTGTAATGTGAGAGGTCATTGAATTCTCGAGCGAGAGACTTGCTCTAGAATTCAAAACCCTTGCGACAAAATAAAAACATTAATTTGCGAATGAATTTCCCTCCCCAACGACCAATTTAAAAAAAAAAAAGTGATTATGTCATGGGGATCAGAGTTAACTACCTGAAATGAACCTGTTCTTCACCAGGCACTTGTTGTCTCTTCCCGTTTCCATTTTCTCTTCTGCGTCTGTCCCTCAGTCTTGCTTGCAGTCCAGTGCATGCATTCTGAGGTTTGGGAAGAATTGCTATCGTACACTTCCGACTGTTTTGGGGGGCTTTATCACGATAATTATTTTCAACGTTGAAAAGTCAAACCAAGCAAAAAAAAAAAATCCAAGCGATATCCTGAAGTTTTAGAATTCTATTCTAAATGCTTCTCCCAAATCCTTACTGTTTCCTCCGCATTCTTTGTTGCTTCAGCTGCAAGTGCTAAACGATAATGCTGAGTGCTAAGCGCTAATGTATGTACAATAAATACTCCCTACACCGTGTTTTTTTTACAAACGAGGTAAGATCTGCTGAGGCTCCAATAAATTCAAACTTCTAATGGATGCCCTTGTGACGAACAGTATAATACTGGGCCGTTAGAGCTGTTGGTTTACCATTAAACTACAGAAATTATTCCTCACCAGTTTATGCTTGGCTGAGTCTTCTGGTGCTTATTGTAAACCTCATTTCCACATGTATGTAATAGATTACTATATATTTAGCATGATGAAATTGATAGAAAATTATTTCACATTTTGATAGATATATTTTGACTTTTTTTGATCCATCTGAAATTGAATGAAAATCACTTTAATCTCGAATCAACATTTAAAAATTATATTTTCAGCTCCACAGATTGGGCTGAATGTTTATAGATTGGGGAAAACGAAAAGTTAAATGAACAATATCGCCATCGGAAGTTGCAACAAATCTGTCGGTTCCTGTCCCGAGTCGCTATCCAAAGAATACTATTATTGTGTAGATATGTGATCTGCATTATACTCAGTTCTATAAAATACAGTCACTAGCTTTGCGGTAAAACGGTGTGAAATGCTTTGAGACATCCAGTCGTGAAAAGCACAATATCAAATACAATTATTCATGTTACACTGTATCGTAATTAGGCTCACCACCAGTTTACTCCTAAAATAATTCAACTGTTACAATGAATTGTGCTTAAATCAGAAGTATCTTTTTCTTGGTGTTTCCTGATTTTAAATGTGTGGGATTGCAGATATTTGGAGGTTGAATACTGATTGGAACCAGTAATTGCAAACATCAGATTTATGAAGTGAAAATGGGAAGATTTAACCCACAAAATGTACAGTCAATTCACTTTACAGTATATTCTGTGAAAGGCTTTTGAGACAGCGAGAAGATGTCATAAGGCGCTATATCCAATGCAAGGGTTATTAGGATTATTATTATTGCTGAAGCATCTTGAATGTCACTACTGATTGTAATTAATCAAATCCTTCATACCAAGTGTTGGGTCAGTAACTTCTGCCAGACAGGTTGCCTTTTGAGAACAGTGATGCCATTTAATAAACTTTGCAACCTGGTGACTTCAACCTTGTTGTTGGCTGTTTGTTTTAGTATGTCCAGGGGGTTATTTGAAATTGGTGGAAAAACAGAAGCCAATTATACATCTGCCTTCACTCGACTGTAGGACATTTTGAGTTGGTCATGGCCTGTGAGGAGAGAGTATAGAGGAATTCCATACATTTTAAAAAGAGAGTTAGTTCAGTTTTAAGCGCTCCGAGACGCCATCCAGCGTGAAGGACATTATATAAACGCAAGTTGTTGTTGTTGTAACGGCTTGGTTTTGGAACACTGGTGGTGATATCTCTCAAGTGTTCTACGCTGAAACCTTACTTGCAAATTTAAAAGTGGGGTATCTAAATTGAAAAGCTTTTCAACTGCCAACACTGACAAAATGTCCACTCAAATCATCCTCTATAAACTGCTTCCACAGAAAAGTTCCTACACATCAAATTGCCAGTTTAAAAATTGGAAATACCTTGACGCCTCATTGTTTGTCTCAAATCAAAAGGAATTCTGATTCTGATGGATGTCAAATCATGGTTGAATTTTTGTTGGCAGGGCATTTGGCTGAGGTGATAATCCTGGAAGTTTGGTTACAGGGTAGCTGTAAAGTTTATCAGGTCTGTTCAATGCATGGATATGTTGTTCTGCCACTAGTTACCATGTTGCAGGCATTCGAGAAGAGATACTGATACTTAACACGTTCAGTTCACAGCACCCCAATGGACATGCCCAGCAGAGGACCTGATGAAGACCGAGACAGTGGAATAACCCGTTCAGGTGATTTACTATTACAGTGGAAGCCGCTTAAGCCAGACACCGGTTAACATCGGGCGCCGGGTAATTTGTGCCATGCAGTTTCCTCACAGAATGCTCCCTCTTTCCCCATTGAGAAACTCCTCTACATCCTTCCAGCAACTTGGGACGTCCTCCTGACGTGAAAGGCACTATATACAAATGTAATTTGTTGTTCTTTCCCCTCCCCACTCCCCATCCTACCTCTGCTATCTCCGAACCCGGCCATTTACTTTGCCCAGCAAATACCAGCTTGCTTCATGTCTCCCACCCCATCTGTCCCTTTGAGACGCCCTTCCGACTTGAAAAAAGCGCTGTGTAACTGCTGTTATGCTTCTGTAAGGGAAACACAAAAAAATATTGCTTTATGCAGCTCACAGATGGTCCTCAAATAGGGCATCCGGCCCTCGGCATCCAAAAGGTTGGACCACCCTGGTTTAGAGCAATCAAGGCGGCGAGCATGTCACAAACTGCCCCTGTGTAGGTCCTTCCACGACACTGAAAGCAGATGTTCATCAAATAGCTAATGAGGAAACTCTGAGGCATGGGATGACTGCTGGAGTGTTGCAAAGACACGCTCGTAGGCGCAGGACTTGATATTCACCTCGATTGGTACGCAGAGAGACGAGAAGCTGCTCCCCCTGAAGCTCTGCACCTGGTGGAACCATCGCTCGATAAGTCAGAACGTGTGTCTGATTTGTGGGCAGAAGAATGGTGCCAAAGCTCTCACTCGTTTCATTTTGAGCTATGCTGCTCACCAGGAATCTCTTGGTACCTGACATCCACCCAGTGTGGGTTCAAGTCTGGATTTGTCAGAAAAAAGAAATAAAAAAAAATAGTAATAATTTGGTCACTCAATCCACGACTGTTTGTGGGGACGCTGCTGTGCACAATTGGCTGCCGCGTTTCACCCACAAAATATACAGTCAATGCACTTTACAGTATATTCTGTGAAGTGCTTTGAGACGTCTCGAAGATGTTGTATCAAATGCGAGGATGATTATTATTTATGTCAAATAACCAATTAGTGATCATTCTTCCGTGGGGTGGTGGGGAGGGTGGGGGTTGGTTCTCCTTGAGACTGAGCTGGATCCAAACTGATATTGGAATTAAATCAGCCCTCAGTGGGGGTCTTTGTAGTCCTGTTCCTAAGCAAGAGCATGTCAGACAAGTCACCGATCTCTTTGAATCATGTCTCCAGCCTCCCTGAGCAGCCTGCTTGTTACACCTTTCCCTTCGCCAAGCTCTTCCCTTCCCAGTAGCTGTGCGAGCAGTTACCACCGGAGATGGAGGCGCAGTCAGAACACCAGCCTGGAAAATGGAGTCTTCCCACGATGGTGAGTCTTTTCTAATATTAACAAAAAAAGGACCTTTTTTAATAAGAGGTTGATGTGTAACTGTACAGGCGGATAAGCAATATCATTGCTGAGAAGGAACACTGAGAGGTATGGATTGGCTTGTGATTAGTTTGTAGCAGTCTTGGCCCTGGGTTCAAGCCTCACATCAGGACTTGGAATTGTATCATCTCGGCTAAGACTTCAATGGTGCGCTGCAATGTTGGTGGCCCTTTCCTTTGAATGAGAACTGAAACTGCCCTCATGCTCTGGAATTTCATTCCAGAACCCCTTCAGCTCTCTACTCCCCTAGTCCCCTTCAAGACCTTCCTCTTTGACAGTGTTTTTGGCCATCTTTACCACCCCCCCCTCCCACCACCCGTACCTACCCCAAGCCCTGGAGTGTTTACATTAAATTCCATTCCGTAAGCTCACTCACTTAATCCGTTCTAAATCCCTGTGTAACTTCCTGCTCCCGTCGATGCAATTTATTGTGCCACCTGCAAATAGTCGAGACTGACACTCCAGTGCAGCGTTGGGCGTGAGCTATATTGTTGGAGGTGCCATTCTTTGGATGAGATTAAATGGTACTATGATTCGAGAAGGGATTTGAAAATTGGTCAAAAACTTCATGGCTGTTTGCGGGACATTGCTGCGCTTCAATTGGCTGCCACATTTGCCTGAAAGCCAGTCTCGACACTCTACAGCAGCCTGTTGAAGAGCTTGAAGATATTTTGTGATAAGGCTACCTAAAATGCAGATTTTTATAACAATATAGTAATAATCGGACTTTACCTTGCCCGTTAAACTTGGAGTAATTTGATCAAATATATATTTTTATTAAACCATGTCAAATGTATTGCTTTCAAAAAAAAATGTTTGTGCACTTTTAGGTCTGTTGAGGAGAGTTTTAACATGTCAACTGAAAGCTGCAGTTCAAATCCATCCATCGTTCGAAAAAAGAAGATTGCTATCGGTATTATATTCTCACTTTCGCAGAATGAGGAAGAGAGCAATAAGTTTCACGAGTTCTTTTTTGCCCACTTTCCCCTCTTTGAGAGTCATGTGAACAGACTGAAGTTTGCTATTGAGCAGGTACTGAAACTTCCTCCTTTTTAGTTATTTGGGAAGGAAGTGGTGCTACTTGTTTTTGAATCATCCTTCTTTGACTAAATGCCATTTTTCAGTGGTTGTGTAACCTCCTTTATATCCTTACTTACAATATAATTTACTCTTACTGTCTTCGAAGAGGCGGCGACGACCAAAATACCCTTCTTTGTCTTGTCCCGCAAGGTCTCAAGATAAATTGTAGTGTGCGTGTCCAAACAGATCTCCTCTATTGTTCTGAGCTACTCAGAATTCAACAGATCTGACTCATTTGTGAAATCTAGGATCAAGCAGTGTTAAAATGATGGATTTGTGGTAAACGGGAGCTCAGAGCTCCAGATTAATGCATCACTTTGATACATCCATTCTTGAATGTAATGTGCAAAGAGGTAATTCTACTGAAACCAATTAGTAATGAATATGTGTTTTTCTGATAGGCTATGAAAATGAGGAACAGAATTTCTGAGACCAGCCAACGTGTTCTGGGTTACAATAGAATTGTAGATGCTTTAAATGAATTCAGGTAAATATTCCGTGTTTGCTATGTTTTTATGTGGTGTTTTAAGCCTTCCGTTTTTGAATGCTAAGAAAGCCTCATGTGATTTCCACTTGTGCTCGGATTATTCTGCAATTAACCATTGGGTGTTGGTTGCAATGCTAAATTTCAAGGTATGTTTGTAATGTCAAATATTTCATTCAAGACTTTTTGTTATGTCAAAAGTAGTTGTGTCTTTGCTTCATAAATCCATCAAACTCTCATCTTGACCAGTTCTCTATAGTCCAGTCCTGGTATTACTTATGACTGGATAATAGTTTCTGAAACTGAAATGCTGTAGATATATTGTGGTTGCAAAGTACATTTTTTTTAAAATGGACCACAAAAATCAGGATGTTTCTAAAATCAGCCCAGAATTCAACTGCTAATGTGCCAGTATATACTGCTCTCGGTGTGGATTTCACTCTGGCACCTGTTCAGTCCCTTGACCGAAAATGACCTCGATTTCCCCTCGTATCCTGTTTATTTGAGTTGTCCTCACCTCGTGTTGCTTCTGCTGCCCTTCATACTTGAGATTATTTGATTATTTATAGGCCTCTAAATTGCAGCATTTTACCCATTGAGAAAATTTGATCATTGAGAGAGTTCCACTCTCACTTATGCCATACGCTGATCCTATGTTACTGCGCAGCTCGTCTGCTCACTGAAATGCCGTTGCTCTCTAGTCAGTTTCTAATGATGGACAGTTGAGCTCAATTGAAGATTCCATGGGGGTGCTGTGCTGTCATAACAATGTCAACGACAGTGAGGGATGTCCATGTTTTGTTTTTAATGTTCATAGCTAGAACTGACCCAACAGCAGCAGCATTTATATATCGCCTTTCACATCAGGACGTACTGAGGTGCTGGACAGTGGAGAATTTTCACTCCGAAACATAGAAACCATAGATGCAAGTGAATAGCAATAATGGGCACTTGTATATAATAATAATCCTTGCATTTAATATAGCGCCTTATCAAGTCTTCGAGACGTCTCAAAGCGCTTCATAGAATATACTGTAAAGCGAATTGACTGTACATTTTGTGGGCGAAACGCAGCAGCCGATTGTGCACAGCAGCGTCCCACAAACAGTCGTGGATTCAGTGACCAAATTATTTTTATTTATCTTGAAGGAAATAGTGCTTTCAAATGAGGGCAAGCCTTTCAGTCTTGAGATTTCTAATCTGAGGTCACACCCATCAGTCTTAAATTTTGTGTGTTACAATTTACAGTACTCCCAGCCCTTCTGCAAACACGTCCATCTATTAATAGCATTGCCATTGTAGTTTTATAACTGGAAACATTTCTGCAAAGTCTGCATGAGGTACACTTGTATGTACGTCACTGTTTTTTTTAAAAAAAGTGTGGTGGGCTCCTTTGCTGACCTGTGGAATATGGATGTCATTGCAGAGAAATAATCCTAGTCAAAAAATCCCTTAGAAACTCTTACTTCCCAAAACCATGCTGTCTTATTACAGTGTTATTCTGCGTGCTTTTAATTTCACATGGTTGCGGAGAATCACGTCATGCAAGTTTTTAAGTTTTGGTTTGCAACTTACGGGTTTCCAGTTCAGCATTCCTCTCCCAGTCGCATGTCTACTGGCTTACGCCCAGTGGAATCTGATGGCTGTCAAGCAAACCCCTATCAGTTACACTTTAAGCCAAGGCTGCAAGAATAGTAAGTTGTTTGTTGCTTGGCTATGAAATATAATAGCCTTCTCAGGAAAACCAATACTTTTGACATGCAGTGCACTTGAGCAATATTAGATACTGTCCAGAACCAGAACAGCTCACCTTAGCTGATGACAAAGGTATACTCTTGAGAAATTTCTATATTATGGAGGGTACTATCGGCAACTGTTTGCATTTATATTGTGTTCTTCACATGGAGTTGCATCTCAGAGAGGTTATAGCGGAGGTGAAGACTGCAAAGCAGATCTGCAGTTTGTATATCTGTATTTATGAATAATGAGTTGTATTAATGTGCTTTTTTTAAAATATTTTTTAACCAAACTAGGACATCGATCTGTGATCTTTATACAATGCCAAGGATAGCAGAACCTGTGTGGCTGACTATGATGTCTGGAATCCCTGAAAAAAAACTGCTTTGCCAACGCTTCATGAAGGAGTTTGCTTTTCTGATGGAGCAAGCTTCAAAGAACCAGTTGAGTATTGAATCAATTGGGGGAAAGAAAATGTGTGTATCGGGGGAAGAAACAACATGTTTTTTATGCCATTTCTTCCAGAAGCAGTTCATTTTAACATTTTAATTGAACGTAGATCAGAAGGAAAAAGGGAATCCTGGAGTAGCTGATGTTTTTCATTGGTTAATTACACAGTTAAAGCACCTTCAATTCCCTTTGTACACTTTTATTTACACAAGTTTACCTGAACTTGTAACTTAAAAGAATTCCATTTTCCCCTCTCTGGATTCTTGGGTAAGAAAGGCAGAGATGAACAAATGATCTGTTCTGAGCTATCAAGTGTGCACAAAAGCCACTGAGTGTTCTTTACTGCCACGAAATGAGTGTCCAGACTCCACTCATTTCCGCTTCAACACATGGCTCTTTGAATCATGCTTTCAGTCATCTTTCCCCTGCCTGGCCTCATCCTCTCCCATCTGCCAGCAGGGTGAGCCCTTTGAGCCTCCCTCCCAACATAAAAAAGCATGATATAAATTGTCTCGCCTCTGTATGGATTGCCACCACCAAATCAATAGTTAGGTAAGGGGATCAAAACTGCATTCCATTGCTCCAGTTCTGCATTGACTGCGTTTAATATTTAACGACTGTTTGTGGGGACGCTGCTGTGCGCAACTGGCTGCCGCGTTTCGCCCACAAAATATACAGTCAATTCCCTTTACAGTATATTCTGTGAAGCGCTTTGAGACGTCTCAAAGATATAAGGGGCTATATCAAATGCAAGGATTCCTACTATTATCATTAAGCTGAAATTGGACAACTTTTTAAATTATTCATTGCAGTGCATGAATTCGAAAATGTTTTCAGCTTGTCTTGCAAAGTTAAAAGTAGAATTGCCAAACGTGATCGAATTGAATGGTCAGAAATGTTTTTATCGATTTCCACCAGATTCCTACCAGCCCTCGTTACTGCTGTGCTCACAAATCACCTGGCCTGGGTCCCAACGGTTATGCCAAATGATCAGCCACCGATCAAAATTTTCCTGGAAAAACATTCCTCTCAAAGTGTGGACATGCTGTCAAAGTCAAATCCTTACAACCCGTTATGGGCACAACTGGGTAAGTCTAGATGATTGCAAAGGAAGCTACATGAAGCAAGAAGGAGTTCGTACGTTAAATTACTCGAGCAGTTATTCGAAGTAGTGTAAGTGATCAAGATGTCGCGGTGAAATAGTTGACATTAATCAGGGTGTCGTGAGTTTGCAGTGTTCATGCTGTGCAATGCTGCCCTCTAGTGATTTTTGTTTCTTGATACAGTATTCTTGGCATTCAGTTAAATTACGTCGAATATAAAATTAATCACATTGCACAATTCAGCAGTGTTTGAGCTATATAAACAATTAGTTCATATCTTTCAACAAAACTGGTATTTCCACAAAAGTGTTTTTCATAGTTGGCTTGGAAACCTTTGTGTTGCTGTGGTGAAATACAGATGATCCCTGTTAAAACGTGTTTCAGATTTATAAAACAATCATAACCCACACTGTAGCAAGGTGATGACAGGCTGTCTCATGCTTTAAAAGTTATAAGGGAGCAGAACTTCTCTCTATTCATGCAATGCTTGAACTTTTTGAGGGTTAATCTGACATGAATAGCAAACCCTTATGTCTTCTTTAGTCTCCAGTTCCAGTGACTGGAAACTCACACAAGCAGACCCCTGAACTGCCCCAATTTGGAGAAGAGTTGCAGGTTTGCAAAACCCAAGGCATTAGCGCACAAAATTCACATTGGGAGGTCTGCTGGAATCAAACCAGTGCAAGGCACTGATTCTATCCAGCCCACCTTGCAGGATATTTGGGAACAAAATGGAATGATTCTCTGGCTATCCACAAAGGCATTGTTGTTGAACATTTGTCTTAAAATATTGTAGATGCAGCAGGCATTGGCATTCGCTTTGTGGCAGACTCAGCAATCTCACTTGATCCAGTCCTTGAGTGAACTCATGAGAGAGACCGTTTACTTCCTTTATCCCTGCCCAGTCATAAATTAGTCATCGAGACAGCTGACGAGCACGAGTTCGAGGTCTTACTAGATGACTAGCTGGTAACAGAAACTCCTTTCGAGTGGTTTCGTCACTTCCTGAATTGTTTGAGAAATTAAAGCTCCAGTTAGATTTGCTTTATTTCGTATTCTGTGTGGGCTACCTATTTGCTGTGTTTTGACCATGAGATCAGTTTTTACCTATTTGTTTAAATAAGATATTGAGTCTCTGAATCTTATGTTCTATTCATCAAATGTTCATTGTGTTCTCCACACAATACAGAACAGTTCACCACAATGAGTCTTATAACAATAAGTTTCAAGAAATGGAATATTGTGAATTTTAAATACAAGCGTTATATTAAGGATTTACTTTCATTAAACCCAAAGTGTACTTATTGACATGTTGCAACCTCCTTCACAAACCCGGCTGTTCCCTTCGCTCTGCTGGCAGTGGCTTATTCCACTTCCCCGACTCTTTCCAATGCAACAACAGCAGGTGGGTTTTCAGCAACTTGGCCCCAGCCCATTGATTCTGAGGGATAGGCCGGGGAGGTTGAGGTCAGAGCCGCAGGACAGAAGACATTGATGGGAGCCAAGGAGTATGGCTTCCGTCTTGTCGACATTTAGTCGCAAGAAGTTTGCGCTCATCCAGGCTGTGATGTCTGCCAGACAAGCCGACAGAACATTAGTGGACCTGGAGTCGCAGCTGTAGGTGGAGAAGTAATCATCCAGATACATGTGGAAGGTTACCCCGTGTCTGCGGATTACATTGACAAGAGGGAGCAGACAGAGTTGGTAGAGGAGGGGGCCAAGGTTAGAGCCCTGGGGTTCACCACAGGTGACCGGGTTGGTGGGATGGAAGGAGAAACTGTTTGAAGAGACAAAGTGAAGGCATTTTGTTAAGTAGGACTCGAACCAGGCTAGTACAATCCCATGCCCTTCCATCGACGGTCAGGCCTTCAGCCTCTCTGCCCCCGCTCTCCCATCTTGAAGTCCTTCTGATTCACTCGTTTCCTCACCTCTTTCAATCTCCGTCTCACGACCTTCCTCTTTGACTGTGTCTTTCGTCACTTCCCCCCCCCCCACCCCCCCCCCCACCCACACACCTATCTTGGGGACAAGCCACAACTATCAAGAGTTTTGATGGCGCTGTATAAATGCAAACTTGTATAGTTCTATCCATACATTCTAGAAAGTTCACAACCAGGTAAGAACAATCTCTTTCCACACACAACACAAAAGTGATTCATGACAAGCATCTCACTGAGCTCTTGATGTTGACACCAGGTGCCAAAAATGGAAATAGGTTCAAGTACAGACTTCCTTCCATCCCCTTACGCTAAACACTTTCATTGTTTAAAATGCTTTTGTAATTTTGTTTTTGACAGTTGACCTGCATGGTGCGATCGGCTCTCCTGTGAGGTTAGCACGGACTGTGGTGATCGGCAAGCGTCAGGAATTGGTTCAGCGATTACTTTATTTCCTCACGTACTTCATCCGGTGTTCCGAGCTGCAAGAGACTCAGTTAGTCGTGGAAGGTGATGGGGAAGATGAGACTGAAATGAACGAGTCTGTCATGACTACATCCCTGGAGAAAGGAGAGGTGGAGGAGTCTGAATATGTGGTGGTTACGCTCCACAGGAATAAAAATAGCCTTATCTCTCCCTTTCTGCAAAACCAAACCTCTGGTTCACAAGACAGTATTGGCCCTGTCTGTCATGATAATAAATGTCCACTTCACAGAGTCAAGGAACATGTTGTCAAACAGGAAGAGGTAAATATTTCCGGTGGTGGATTGCTCCAACTTCACAGGAACACCGAAATTGGCTGCAAGACAAATTTGGGGACAATCCGCATGGAAGAAGACACTATGAAGCAATGCAAAGAAATTACCAGCTGCTTTCAAGAAACCAAGATTGAAACTGTGGTCCCCATTAGATCTGCTGCTGCAGACCGAAGCTTGGTGGTAGAACCTGTAACTGAGAAGCAGCCTCCAGATAAGCCGCTGCCCTCTTCCTTGCCCTGTAGGGCGAGCCATCCGAAGCAAAGTCCCAATTCACTCCAAAAGGTGACTTTTCAGATAGGTGATTCGCTTTCTCCTGATTCAGATACAGAAGCCAAGAAAAATGAAGTGGATGGATTATTTAAAAAAGGTATTAGGGAGCTTAAAAATAGAATACAGAAAGGCGAGGTATCTGTGGCGACTCGGGACCAAAAGACAACTAATAGCGAAAAGGATCTGTTACCTGACCTGTCCAATAAATTCTATAAATTGGATCCTTCACGTGAAGGAAGTACAAGCTTACTTGATGAATGTTTTACAGAGGATTGCTTAATGGAAGCAAGGACCAGTGATTACCTTCCTAGGAAAGATCAGAAAGAGAATGAGCAACGAGATATTTCAGAAATAATGTTGTGTACTCCGGACAATAAACAACAAGTACCATCTGGGGTTGAGTGGGACATCCCAAGAAATGAGAGCTCGGACAGTGCCCTGGGTGACAGTGAGACTGAGGATGCAAGTCATGAGTTGTCACGACATAACAGCAGCTACTATGGTGCAGAGCAGGATGACTGGCTGGAGCAGGAAGAGCTACCTTTTCCTGGGTAAGCATAAATTCACTTTTGTTTATAATCAATAAAATAATCCTTATATTTGATGTATCTTTCACTTTGGGAGGATGTCTGAGTGCTTCACAAGATATACTGTATTATAAAGTGTAGTGATTGCGTATTTTGTAGACAAATGTAACGCAGAGCAATGTCCCACAGACAATCAAACTTTTGTTGTGTTTAACTCTTGAAATAAGCTTTAACCTGTGTGATATATGGAGTCCATGAAGACATGTTTTACTCTACTATGGAAAGGTTTACTTTTTTCTTTTGCCCATGTTTGAGCAAATTTCTGTGATCAGATCATTATTTGAATTGCGATGAAGTTAGGTTAGAATTGGGATATTCATGAAATCGCATAACCCTGAGTTTTATCCATTTAACCAGGATACAGTAACAACGTAGATCTAACTAGAGCTCTCGCCCTTAACGTAGAATAACATTTTGGTACACTTTACAATGACTAGATTGGATCCTGAGCAGGGGAAAAGAGGGAAGGGATAGGTGATCCTAGACACAGTTGAAGAGGTCAGTTTTAAGGCGAGACTTGGATAGAGGGAGTGAGACTGGGTCGAAAGGGGTAGAGAGAGTGGTTACAGGTCTAGCAGCTAAAAGTTAGACCAAGGATGGTAGCACAGAGAGGGCACAGGCACACAGCAAGCGGGCAATGGTGAGGTAGGTGCGGAAAGCAATGGAGTGGGGTAGGAGCAGCTCAGAGAAATGGAGAGGTGGCAGGACTTAAAGGGATTAAAAAGGAGGACCTTGACATTGGTCTGCGGGGAGACAGGAAGCCAGTGGAGCCCTTAGGCAAAGGTGAGGTGATGGGCTTAAAGAGTTTCCAAGTGAGGATGTGGGCAGTAGAGTTTTGCATAACCTGGAATTACTTAATCGATTGAACCAGGCGGAAGGGAGAAAACAATCAAGTACTCTTATGGAAAGAAAAACAAATTACCATTGTGGTTGACCTCCAATTAGGAACACAAGTTTTTGTGAATCTTGGTAAGTTGTACTCTGGTTACAACATTGTTTTCACATGACTCCAGTCACTAGGATCCTTAACGCTGGTTACTGAGGTTTGAGAGATGCCTTCAGCTCCCCTCTCGACTCTCTTCCCCCTCCTCGCTCCCTCCCTTCCCTCCCCTCACCCTGACCATTTCCCCCCTGCTCGGGTCATGACCCAACTGTGCAGCGCCTTGGGACGTCCTCCTGACGTGAAAGGCGCTTTATAAATGGAATCTTGTTGTTGTTGTTGTTGTTGATGAGCCATTATTCCACCCGTGTCTTAAGGCAACTATTTTCATGTATGGCACCATTTCACAAATCATTGATCTAACACGCTCGTGAATGTTTTGATGCTTGGTTTTAGATATACTTAAATCCTCATATTTCAGGGAGATGCAAACATTTTAACTGAATTCAAATGCAGTATCTGCTTTTTTCATAGGTCAAAAATCGTTGAAGTAACTTGCGAGAAACCATGCATTTCTAACTATGGGAGATCATTATTTGGTGGTTACTGCCCGTACTATGTGCCTGACTTTGTTCTGCACGGAACTTGCAATGATGAGAAGCTGAGGCAGTGTTTGGTATCAGATTTAGCACATGCTGTACAGGTGACCACCATTTTTATACTTTAAAATTATTTTTCTGACATGCTCGAATGAGTGGGAATAAGTGAGATTGTAGATGAGGGGAGGGTGCTATGTGAATGTTAGCATAATAACTATTATATACTGTATTTATATACAGTGATCCCATTCTCTTTACTTCCCAAGACAAGGATCCAAAGGAAATAGATTTTGCAACATCATCATTCTTGATCATGTAATTATTTGGCCTACATGTTGGTTAAACCGTTGCTGTGGGTTAATGCCAGCCAGGCCTTCCTTCATTCCTATCCACAGAAATGTTAACTGAGATTGGGATCTGACGGATGATGAACAATCATGACCCTGTCTTGCTTCTCTGTGGCACAGCATGGTGGTGCTTCAGTATCCAGCATTCAGCATGCTGAGGGATATTTTTAACAACCACAGTGTCATTAAAATGTTTCCTCTGAGTGCCTGGAGCAACATGTGCCACATCACGGACAGCATTCTGCTCACCATTTTTACAAGCTGTACGAAGCAGAGGAATGCATGAGTAACATGTTATTGACTCCTTCCTGCCCCATGTTGTCACCTGCTCCAATCCCCTCTCTATTCAGAAAAGTGTCTCATCTCTGCTCAGCATAATAGCTAAGACAGTAACTCTACCACTCAGCAGCCCACTTGAATGATTGAATTTTGATTGATTGATTAGAAGTGAGGACAGCTAAAGAGCACAGGTTTCTGATAAAACCTATGTTGGTGTTAGAGGCCTGAGACTGGTCTGATGTGAGGTCACTGTGGGTGAATATAGGACCCAGGCCTGCTGTTGGTGCAGGTGTGTACAATATTAATATCAGTCTCTGCCTCATAGCACAGCGATTGGGCTTAACACCCTCACATACAGAGTCACAGTCTCTCATGATATAATAGCAATACAGTATAAAATACTGTATATAATAGTTATTATGCTAAGATTCACGTAGCATCTTCCCCTAAACTACATCTCCCCAAAATAACAAACTCCCAATTCTCTGCAGGAGACTTGATTAACCAGCAATATTTTCAGAACGATGCAGAAAATCCTTCGATGGAAACCATTTCAAATGGATCTTAAGTCATTATAAAAATAGCCTACATTCCATGACCTATGAGTGACACACTATTTAAGTGGAGCTCCTAACCAAAGAAGTGCTAAATGCATTAAACGCTAAATGTATAGCCTTCACTAAAATTATTTATAAAGATACCAAATTCAATCTTTCTAACTATTCTTTCTCTTCAGCATCCAGTGTTGGATGAGCCAATCGCAGAGGCTGTCTGCATTATAGCAGATGTGGATAAGTGGAGTGTACAAGTTGCAAGCAGCCAAAGGCGCATCACAGAAAGCAACAGACTGGGGAAAGAAGTACTGGTATCCAGCTTAGTTTCCAACTTACTTCATTCCACTCTACAGCTCTACAAACTCGATCTCTCCCCAAACTTTGTAAGTACAGCACTGATGGAGTGGTCCCCTGTACATAGATTCTGGTGCCTGAGCTTCCTTGTGTAAATTGCACCAATTGAAACGTAAGCTATTGCAGTGTAGAATGTTTATCTGCTATCCTATCTCAGTAAGCGGGCAGGAAATCTTACCCACTGGGGACAAAATGCAATTAGGGTGAAACTCGCACAAGTCTTGTTTATAAATCGTATAATCGCCCAAGTCGTATATTCAATGAATCCTTTCAGTTTCCGATCAAAACCATTGAAATTTCTGTGCATTAATCATCTCCTGACTAGCAATGCCGGTCCCCTATCCTCCATCACTCCCTCACTTACCAACTGCATTGAATCGCGGAAATGTTGTCCTGATCCGTCGATGCGTGTGGATTTACCAGGCGGCTGCGTTCGAACATGGGGAAAAATGCTTTGTATGTTTTCTTACCCACAAGACCCTGGATTAGCTTTGATTAAAAAATGTTTTCTTTGTAGTGTATAATGCACCTTGAAGATCGGCTACAGGAACTGTATTTCAAAAGTAAGATGTTGTCAGAATACCTGAAGGGCCAAATGAGAGTGCACGTAAAGGAACTGGGCATGGTATTAGGGTAAGCATTCCTGATTTTTGCATTGAAGCCACCTAATGAATGTCATTGTGATGGAACTCTGTATCAGAGAGCCAGCATATTGCTGAAGAGAGCAGTAATCTGTGAATTCACATTTGTTCTCCCCAAATACCGACTTTCTAAGTAATCAAGAGGAGGATTTGTACACTCATTGTCATTGAGTTTTACCTCTCAACAGAGGAAAATTGTCAAGAGTACAGAATGTGTTGATAAACCTCATTTTACAGTTAGTTTATTGAATCTTGAGAGCTGAGTAAAAAAATTGAGATTTTTTCAGTGAGTTTAAAAAAAACTTCAAAATATTTGCACGTTTTATCAAATACAAGCAGTTCAAAACATCATCCCTTCATTTTTGAGTAGCTTTAATCAGAAATATTAAACAATTGTTGGAATTCTTCGAATTTGATTATAAACACATTCACTTTTTCTCCCTCCTAATTCTATTACAGTAAGTTTTAAATTGTCGACAGTAGACTTAACTACCCTGTTCTACTGAATTCTACTAACATTTTTATCCTTCCTCCAGGATTGAATCCAGCGACCTGCCTTTGCTGGCAGCTGTAGCAAGCACCCATTCTCCATATGTAGCCCAAATATTGCTTTGAATCGTTGCATTGCCAAAGGGCAGCATTAAAAACAGTTGCAACAGAATTTTTGCACATATTAGAAGATGGCACCAAGAAGGAAACCCATTCTGGAGAAAAAAAGGATTAGCTTGACCGGGAAAATAGCCTTTTCTCACTACTGCATCTGTGAAATTGGTCACATCAAACCGATTTATTTATCCAATGTGAGAGTTGAATTTGGAAGGTTCCTTTTGAAAACGAACAGTGTCTTTAAACAAACAATTTCAAATGATGGGAAGAAATTACAAAAATTGCCTTCTGATCAATGTGGAATCAGAGCATCACACTTGTAGAAATTTTGACTTCAGGGAAGTCGGACTAACCTCCCTTGTTCTTACTGAACCTGCACATATATTTACCACATGTTTTTATTATTTTGTATTCTACAAATGGAGTTTGTGTAAAGAGATAATCGTTTTGTACATGTACTTTTACAATTATAAATCGACTGTAAAAACTAATTGTATTTAATGTTTTAGGAATTACATTGATGTAACTGACAAAAATTGAACAATGCTAATTGTTGACCTGTTTAAGTGGGATCATTGTATGGCTGCTGTTGCTTTAGACTATGTAATATAAGCAATAAAAGTGTAGCAAACATTGGCAGATAAAATTGTACAGGAAGGCAACAGTTGCAGAAAACATGCAGTCATCTGTTTGAGTCTCTCTCTAGCTGATCTGACTCCAATCTCTAATCTTAAATTGGTAAAAATATAATTGGGATATTCCACTACCTCAGTTAACAACACTGCATCAAGGGCTATACTGTACAGTATTTTACTTGTCTCTATGTCTAAGTTTTGTAATTTGTAGATTGATTTGGTTTTACCTATTTTTATCCTGTCATTTTACACTTATTATGCAGCTTAGCGTGATGAATGGTAAAATATGCTGTGTATCATTAGCCAACACTCTGTACCATTAAGTAAAGGATGGAACATGTCACATTTACTCTCCCTTAACCCCCGTCCCCACACACAATTGTACTGAATCCCTGATTTGAACCATGAATGTGTAAGAAGTGATGCCCTGCAGAGAAAGAGGGCAGGTTAGATATTGAAAGAATGCCCATTTTTGTTTGAATTACTGTATGTCCTATAGAATATCACTGAAAATCATACCGTTGCAGTAAATTAACTGGTATTTTTTTCTACATTTGACTCATTAATCAACAAAAAAATTCTTATTTATCTTTCCCAATGTTTCTAATCTCTAGAAGGATTTTGTTTTGGGAGCGGTTTGCAGTTGGAAATCCTGATACATTGCTCACTGGGTTGTGTATTCAGGTGGGGGATTGAAATTACCCCCGTTAGAGAAAAAAAATTGTGACTTGGAGGGAAGAAAATGGGTGTGTGGATAACATTCCCTATTGCAAGCATGCATCCCGTCTTACTCGTGAAGTAGCGTTCTGGTAAATGGAGCAGTGATGGCCTTGGACCTTCTCTGAGATAAGATGGTTTAGCGTTCACCAGGGATTTTGAAAAAGGAGCTGAGGTAGTGGTGTGTGAGACCCGGAAGTGTATGATGCCATTTTTGGGTAAACAGGTATTTTACGTACTATGTATGAACAAGTAGTAATAGGTGTTCTTTGATGGAATTAATAACCAATGAGAAGATTGGTTAAGTACATCACATCTGCAATTCCGTCTATGTACATGGTGCGTAATGGACCTAACTTCAATGAGATTTAGAATTTTGGGTGAGGAAGTTAATGTATCTTGTCCTTGTTTATACACAAAGGTAATTTTATACAATTGCATATTCTTAAATCTGCAACTTTCCTTCGTGCAGTTTTGAAGTCTTACATTTTCAAAATGTTGTAAAATCATTTTTCTCCTGAATAACTGCAACACATGATAAATGCTAGGCTTCTATTACATTGTACACATAAAATATTATATTTGCTGTTGCCATCATTGTAATTGTCTTTTACAATATTTAATTTATTGACTCAATGAAAGTTGTTAGCTAAACTATAAAAGCAGAATATTCTGTAAATGTTTTCTTTTAAGTATGCACTATATATTGTTTCCTATTTGTTACTTTTAGAGGATTTGTTTGTGCAATAAATGTGTAAAAAGTACTGAATCTGTACCTTTTTTTAAAAAAGTAGACAAAACATTTATAGGATAGATGGTTTACATTTCACTTAAACTAGATTTGGAGGGGAGATAAGTATAAACTTGGTTGCAGTTATTATCAGGAAGAGATAGGAAAGTTGAAAAACAAGATGGACCAAAAAGGAGATATGTAAATCAATAGGAAAGGGAAATATGTCTCCACACCTGTGGAATACATCAACTATTTGGACATGTTTACAGATGGCACAGCTGTTCAAGAAATCTGGAGTAATTCCAAACGCTGAAAGGTTATTGGGGATTCCCAACACTGTCATTGCTTGAATCGCATGGAGCAGTGTGTATGAATGTATGAATTTCGAGGCATTCCCAGAAAATGTAGGAGTGAAATATGCAACTTACATCATCTTCAACATTCATCATTCAATTCCAGGTAATGGCTATATCTTTGGAGCTTAATTGAGGGGACGGGGAAAGAGAGGAGAACGGAGGGTCAGATATGTCCTGTGTAGCAACTTAAACTGACCTTTCTGCATTCTGCTTTAGGAAGAGGTAGAATGTGCCAGTTCCCATGCCTGCTCCCAAATTATTATGGTCAACAGTGCCCAGCTCTCTCTCTCTCTCTCTCCCCTCGGCTGTTCTGATAGAGTCTGTGTTCTCAACTGTTGGTGACATTAAGGCAAGGTTTCAAAATGGAAATTTTCCGACTCATCATTTTCCAGAACAACCGTTCTTAAGTAATGCGCAGCAAATACAGCCTGACCACTGCTCAGATGTGTTTCTTTCAGGCAGCTACATCTGCCCTTTCTTTAAAAAGTTTAATATCTTCTTTATTGGATTGTTTTCCATTAAGGGTGACATTTTATTTGAACTCAGACATGTGATGGTAAAATCTTGTGAAGCGCTTTCAGTCTTCTTGACAACATCCTGCAGTAAACCTCACATAACTTGTATCACCCACAAACTTTACAGTCAATTCACTTCACAGTATATTCTGTGAAGTACTTTGAGATGTCTCAAGGACATGGTGAGGTATATATCAAATGCAAGGATTATTATCATCAGTTGGGACTGTAATTTAATATGGTTTATGCAAGGTTGGAGTTCTGTCAAACTTGCATGAGCGGTCTCATATATGACTTATGTAAAGTTATGTAAAGCTCAGATTTTATATGATTAACACATAAAAAATACACAACTACTGAATTAGCTGGTGACGTTAAGGCAAGGTTTCAAAATGGAAATTTTCAGACCCATCATTTTCCAGACCAACTATTCTTATGTACTTTTCAACCAGTTTTATTATCTGTAAATGTTTTATTTGAATGTTCCTGTTGCCTTCCCTAACTTCATAATATTTTTCTTGCAAGTGGGAGCTGATACAAATGTGTGAATTATTTAAGAGTTAAAGGGGGCTGTTAAGAGTCCACTTAATTGTCTCAGTTCTGAAGGAAGATATGTGTAGCCTTATTTTACACAGCTGTCGGTTGGAAGAAAAGCAAGCAACTGAGTACAACACGGCTGTTGTAGCCATGAGACTGTGCTTCAGTTAAGACAGCCAATTGCACACAGCTGTGTCCCACAAACCGTTCTGGATTGAGTGACCAAATTTTTTTAAAGAGATTATTACCCCTGGAAAGCGATCCGCCAATCGACTAACATCCAGATTCCTACTTATTGCTAGGCAAACAGAGATGTGAGGAGTAAGGAAACTTTCCTTAGGTTTCTGCCTTCCCAGGAATCGAACCCATGTCCTCTTGTTTGTGAGGTGAGCGCACCAACCAATATGTTACAGAACTCCACTGAACGTTGCTCACCAGTGTCCTGACTGCGGGACTCCAGGAAGTCACCACTCATGCACGTAGAGAGAGACACACCGACAAACTCACATGGGGCACAGTGCCCTCCACGAGGAGCGAAGCTCATTTCCCACCCCGCGCTGCTACCGCCATCCTGACACCTACCACAGACGTGCGAGTAATTTTCTATTGGCCCCAGCCTATCACTTTTGATAAGCAGGATTATTATTATTATCACTACATGGAGTCATGTACCTTAGTGGTTAGAGCGCTCGCCTGGGTTTGATTCCCAGGCTGGGAGAAATGTTGGGCAAGTTTCCTTACTCCACACCCTCTGTTTGCCTAGAAGTAGATTGGAATCTGGTTGTTGGTCGACTGGCGGATCACTTTTCTGGGGGTAATCCCTTCAAAATCAATCAGAACAAATAAATAAATTTGGTCACGCAATCCACGACTGTTTGTGGGACACTGCTGTGTGCAATTGGCTGATGCTTTTCGCCCACAAAATATACAGTCAATTCACTTTACAGTGTATTATGTCAAGTAGGACTCAAACTAGGAGAGTGCGGTCCCACTGAGGCAGACGATACAACTGGGTGGGAAGAGGGTCAAGGCAGCGGATTGTAAGTTCCATATATGTATTGATGGTTGTGAGGGACGAGGGAGAAATAGGGGCAAAGTAATGCATAATCAGTGCAAGGAAAGGGACAGTATCAGAAAGCGCAGGGAATGTAAGATACATGGGGAAGGGTTGGAGGACAGACGAGAGGAAGATGAGGAAGCCAAATGGATGTTGTCTATATTTCTGATATGAGGAAGTCCATGACCACTTGATCTCTGTGATAAGGACTGAGGGAGCTTGTGGAGGCATGCAGAGGATGTGATGTTGCTTCACTATGTAAAATTCTGCGAAATCCAATTCACGTAGAACTGTGTTACTCACCAGGAAGCTTGTACTGTACAAATGTAATCTTGTTGTTGTAGTTTCTTGGTATTTTCTACCCACTAAGTGAGGGAGTTCAGGAAGAGTGTCAAGCCTGGCTCAGTTGGTAGCCTCTAAATCAGAAGGTTGTGGATTCAAGCCCCACTTCGGAACGTAGGCTGCCAGTCTGGTAAGCGGTAACTGGGGGTGGCGCATTGTTAGAGATGCAATCCTTTGAATGAGATGTGAAACTCGGGGAATGTTAACGATCCCATGGCACTACTCAAAATGAGAAGGGAGTTTCTTCCAGTACTCTAGCCAACAATCCCCTGGATAAAATCGGTCATTCACTTTGTGGCTGTTTACAGGACACTACTATCCACAAATGGGATGCTTCATTCATCTACAAAATATGCAGACACACTTTACAGTAAATCATGTTGTAAGGCGGCAATTAGTCTGTCCTTCGAAGTCCTGCCGATGAGCTAGGCTGGCCGGTTTGCTATCAGCAGTGCCCTGGAGTACTGCGGATCTGCCTGGTTCAGGACCCAGATTACCGAGATCGCTACAGAGATTGACTCGATTCTGACATTCCTTTGCCAAACAAGTCACCTTGGAGCCAGTTCAGCTCCATGGAGACCCCGCTTACCTTGCCCCCAAAGATGATAGTCACTAGTTGGTCATTTGGCGGTAACCACTATGATACAAGTAATGGTTAGTGCGTCACCTCGCAAATAAGAGGACCGGGGGTTTGATTCCCAGACAGGGTGAAACCTTATCTAAGTTTCCTTACTCCACACACCTGTTTAGTTAACATTAAGTAGGAACCCAGTTGTTTAGTTGATTGGTGGGTCGCTTTCTGAGGGTAATAATCCCTAAAAAAAAGTGGTCACTCTCTCCATTTGGCCGCCGCGTTTCATCCACAAAATAGTCAATCCATTTTACAGTATATTCTGTGAAGCGCTTTGAGCTGTCTCAACGACGTGAAAAGGTACTATATCAAATCCAAGGATTATTATTTTCTGTGGGTTTGAGCCCTCACTGGTTGGAATGGTGAGCTTCCTGGTGAGCAGAAGAGCATATTTAAATAGATCGCAATCTATCATAATCTTGTTTCTGCACATCACTCTGAATCCATTCTGAGGCAGTTTTCACGGAATTAAAATCTCTCTTTTTGAACAAAAATTAAAACCTGGTTCAAAACTCCTGCGAAGCGCTTTGAGACATCTCGACGATGCGATAAGGCGCGGTATCAAACGCAAGGATTATTATTATTTCCCCTCCATTGCATCACAGTTTGAGTCCCAACGGGAGGGACGAAAAACTTGTTTCCTAACCTGGAATTTAATGAATGTAACTTGAATTCAAATTTGTCCCCCCCCCACCTTTCAGCCTGTACAGCACCGCTCCCCTTCAGCATGTACACCCCCCCCCACCACTTTTCAGCCTGTACAGACCCCCTTTTCAGGCTCTGGCATCAACCTCCATGGTTGCACACTACAACTCACCAAACCGGTCAGGAACCGAGGTGTCTTGTTCAACCTTCAACTGTCTTTTCTCCCCCACGTTCAAGCCATGACCTGCTCTGCCTTCCCTCACCTCCGTAACATGGCCCGACTCCACCACTAATTACCCCTCAGGCGCTGAAACTCTTGTTCGTGCCTTCATCGCCTCCAGGCTCGACTATGCAAACGCCCTGCGTGTCGGCCTTCCCAACTCCTCCCTCCACACACTGCAGATAATCCAGAACTCTGCCGCCCGTGTCCTCTCCCGCACCAAACTCCGTGACCCCATCTCCCCCATTCTCGCCCGACTCCATTGGCTCTCTATCCTTCAGAGGACCCACTCCCGATGCGAAAGGCGCTATACAAATGTAATCTTGTTGTTGTTGTACACCTCCCCCCTGTTTTCAGCTGTACACCCCCCCCACCCCCATCAGCCTGTACACCCTCTTCAGCTGTACCCCCCCCCACCCCCTTCAGCCTGTACACCCCCCCACCCCTCCAGCTGTACCCCCCCCACCCCCTTCAGCTGTACACCCCCTTCAGCTGTACACCCCCCCACCCCCTCCAGCTGTACCCCCCCACCCCCTTCAGCCTGTACACCCCTCCAGCTGTACCCCCCCACCCCCTTCAGCTGTACCCCCCACCCCCTCCAGCTGTACCCCCCCCACCCCCTTCAGCTGTACCCCCCCACCCCCTCCAGCTGTACCCTCCCCCACCCCCTCCAGCTGTACCCCCCCCCCCCCTTCAGCTGTACCCCCCCCCCCCCCTTCAGCTGTACACCTCTCGCGAGATGCGTGGGACTGACTTGAGTGAGTGAATGAGTGACTGACCGACGAGCATTGAGTGAGTGAGTGAATGAGTGAGTGAGTCCCTCAACACACACTCCCCCCCCCCCCCCCCCCCTCCCGGAGTGGGGGGGGGAGGCAACAGGAAGGTACTGAGCAAAGCAAATCAAAGCAAAGTTTTTTAAAAGGCAGAGCAGAGCCAGTGGGTGGGGTGGAGGGAGGGGTTAACAACACCCCCCCTCCCCCCCCCCCATGGTTGGCCGCACCGCACCAGCACAGCCCCCGACAGACGGCAGAAGTGAGGGGGGAAAAAGTTTTTTTTTGTTGTTGTTTTTTTTTAAAAAAATTTGAGAGAAGAAAGTTTTTTTCCCCCACTCCCATCTCTCTCTCTCTCTCCCTCACTCACTCACTCACTCTCTCCACCTCACCTCAAGAAGAAGGAGTAACGATAACATTAACGAAGTGGGGGGGGGGTGAGGGGGAGAGAGAGGGAGGGAGGGAGAAGGGGGGAGAGAGAGAGGGAGAAGGGGAGAGAGAGAGAGAGGGGGGGAGAAGGGGGGGAGGGGGAGAGAGAGGGAGAAGGGGGGAGAGAGAGAGGGAGAAGGGGGGAGAGAGAGGGAGAAGGGGGAGAGAGAGAGGGAGAAGGGGGAGAGGGAGAAGGGGGGAGAGAGAGGGAGAAGGGGGAGAGAGAGAGAGGGAGAAGGGGAGAGAGAGAGAGGGAGAAGGGGGGAGAGAGGGAGGGAGAGAGAGAGGGAGGGAGGGGGGGGGAGAGAGGGGGTGGGGGGGGGTAAAGAAATGCAGCCGCCGCGGCCTGGGAGCCGCTCCCGCCGGGTGAGTGGGTGAGTGGGTGAGTGAGAGAGGCCGATCGACAGCAGGAGGAGAGGCCGCGGGGTTTGGAGCCGACAACTGAGGAGGGGGGGATTTTTTTTTTTCTTTTTTTTTTGGGTGGGGGGGGAGAGAGAGAGAGAGGAGAGAGAGAGAGGGGGAGAAGGGGGGGAATTCGGGTCGAATCGGATCGCTTCGGATCTCCGGCGCTTTCGGACGCTCCCGAAGGAGTGGGGAAGGGAGGAGGGAGGAAACCCCCCCAGACACCCCCCCCCCCCCAAAAAAAAAATCGTCCTTTCCTCTCCCTTCCCCCCCCCCAAAAAAAAGGCGCCGATTTTATTTCAGGATTATTATTATTATTATTATTTTTTGAACCCCCCCCCACCCTCACCTCACCCCAACCCCTCTCAACCGCCCAGTCAGTTCCAGGTCAGGAGGGAGGGAGAGAGAGAGGGAGGGGGTGGTCGGCGGGTGACTTAACTGAAGCAGCCCCTCGCCCCCCCCCCCCCCCGGGGGCAGGGCCGGGCCTCTCGCGCTCTCTCTCTCCTCTCTCTCTCGCTCTCGGTGCCCCGGTTTCCCGCCTCTCAATCCCCCTCAGCGATGACAGTCCGCGAGACACCCGCCCCCCAACCCCCCCCTCCCCCCCGGCCCCCCCGAGTATTCGCTATCGCCGCTATTAGTATCGTTATTATTATTATTATTATTATTAAATATGGATAAAAACTCTTCATAAAACTCTCCCCTCTCCCCCTCCCCCTCCACGGTGTGTCACACCCCCCCTCCTCCCCACCACCACCTCCTGGAACTTTCCACCCGCTTTCCCCGGACTTTTCGAGGCGAAGTGACATTTTCCCCTTTGATTTTCTGACCCCCCTCTCCCTCTCTCCCTCTCCCCCTCCGCCCCCTCTCCCTCTCCCTCCCGCCCCCCCCCCCCACCCGCCGCCCCGCACACACTGCTCCTCGGAAGAGAGGAACCATGTCTTCGTCCGTGGACCCGCTGTTCAAGCAGGTTTTGATGAAGAAAAGTTCGGAAAGGACTCGCCAGGTGAGAGGTCACGTTTATATTAGATTGGATTTAACACTTCTGTCTGTGTCTGTGTGTGAGTGTCTGTGTGTCTGAGTCTGTGTGTGTGTGAGTATCTGTGTCTGTATGTGTGTGTGTGTGTGAGTATCTGTGTGTGTGTGAGTATCTGTGTGTGTGTGAGTATCTGTGTGTGTGTGTGTGTGAGTATCTGTGTGTGTGAGAGTATCTGTGTGTGTGTGAGTATCTGTGTGTGTGTGAGTATCTGTGTGTGTGTGAGTATCTGTGTGTGTGAGTATCTGTGTCTGTATGTGTGTGTGAGTATGTGTGTGTGTGAGTATCTGTCTGTATGTGTGTGTGTGTGTGAGTATGTGTGTGTGAGTATGTGTGTGTGTGTGTGAGAGTATCTGTGTGTGAGTATCTGAGTCTGTGTGTGTGTGTATGTGTCTGTGTGTGAGTGTCTGTGTGTGGGTATCTGTGAGTGTCTGTGTGTGTGTGTGAGTATCTGTGTGAGTGTGTGTGAGTGTCTGTGTGTGAGTGTGTGTGTCTGTGTGTATCTGTGTCTCTCTGTGTGTGTGTATCTGTGAGTGTCTGTATCTGTAAGTGTGTATCTGTGTGTCTGTGTGTGAGAGGATGTTTCCTACGAGGATTTTGTTTGGCACACGCTGCCGCCGTTAAAGAAGCGTTAATTGATCCCCCAATGGGTCCTGATATTCTCCCCCCTCCCGCCCCCCCCCCCCATCACCGTTTCTCGTTCTTTATTTTACAATTCTCCCGAAAAGCAAACACTTTCCTGATTTGAAAGGTATGTATTGCACTTTCCTGACGTGTCTGCTGTTTGCTCGATCGTTAAAGGTACAAATCGTACCCTTCGACGCTGTTCAGTCTTGGGAGATGCTTTCGAAATGCGGACAATATTGAGAGGAAAATCATATTGTGAGTGGGGTGGGAGGTTAGGGATTGACTCTGGAAAGTAAGCGTATTGGAATTTTTGTTCTGCAAACATTGCAGTTACTCAGTTCATACATTTCGAAGGTACATTCCAGCCACGTCTTGGACTTTTGGACTTTTGTCTTTCATTATTTTGTTACGGGATCTGCGTACAGTAAACTCACTTGAGTCGTATCAGAGCAACTTGTGCAAAGTATGAGTTAATCATCATCATAATAATAATAATCCTTGCATTTGATCTCGTGCCTTATCACGTCTTTGAGACGTCTGAAAGCGCTTCTCAGAATACGAAGTGTAGTGACGGTGTATTGGTTGGGCGAAACGCGACAGCCTGTAAAGTTATGTATAAGTTCAGATTTTATGCGATTAACGCATAACAAATACACAAGTACTGAACTGGCTGGTGACATTTCTGTACTATGTTTTAACCCATACATATTAAAGCTATGGTAGCCCATTCTTTCCATATATAGTACTGCATATCACTCAGGTGTCTCGAAAGTGCTTCACAGAATACGTTGTAAAGTGGATTGACTGTATTTTGTGGCCGAAACGCAGCAGCCGATTGCGCACAGCAGTGTCCCACAAAGTGTCGTGGATTGAGTGACCAAATTATTTTTTTCAAGTAGAGAATTAACGTACTTATTTTCTTGAAGCATGAGGTGAGATCATAGTAATCATTCCATTCCGCATATTACATTTAATACTCATACATGGTAATATATGCGTATTAAAAACGATAGTCTGATCTGAGGTCCTTCTGCCTGTGGAAAGTGGGAAGCAATTTTAGATGACTGGTGCGAGCTAAAATTTTCTCCTTGTATGGTGTGGGGAAGATTTTTGTTATAAAGTTTCCTGATTCAGCATTGTGCATTATTGAAACTGGAAGTCACGAGAATACATAGCCAAATCTTGTTTTTTATCTGGAATATGTATTCCAGATCCAAGATCTGTGTGTGGGTAGACAGTGGACTCACTGATCCCATCCGTCTGTTAAAGGGGGGGCAAGGCAAGGCTGCGCAATGTCACCGACCCCATTCGATGTGTTCATCAACGACCTATTGGATGGCATTGAGGGGAAGGACTTGGTGTATCTGTCCCAGGCCTCTCTGACAGGAGTGCAACATGACGCTGCTGTTGCAGATGATATTGTGCTGCTCGAAAACTCACCTGGGGATTTGCTAAGCTGCACCCACCATCTTGAACATTGGGCCAACCGATGGTATACGGTGGTAGGTGCCACCAAGGGCGGGATCATGGTTCTGCACAGCCCAAGAGAAGACATTGAGGGAATGGATTGGAAGACTTTTATCTGTACCTCAAGGTTGTGCTGGGCGCCAACTTCAGCTTGGACACTGTCTGAGAAGGGGTGAAGAGTACTGTGGTCATGCTCATCACTCTTCAAGGACAGCAAGATCCCAATGCAAGTCAAGCTTGTGGCATACAAGCCCTGTGTGCAAACACTCCTCCTTTATGGATCCGAGCCCCGGGGGTTGCAGCGGAGAGGCTTCCTCCGACCCATTTGCGAAGTCCAGGATGAAGCAGCGAGGTGGATTTATGGCCGAAGAGAGGGAGGACTCGGGCCTACACTGACCTGTCCCTAAGCACCCTGGAGGTGGCTTCACAATTGGCACATCTATTTGCCACGGCCTCTTGCATGAGGAACTGGATTAAGTAGCTGGAGCTGAATAAGCCTGGTACACGGCATTGGACTTGGACCTTGAGAAATCAAAGAGGGAGGGCTCGCCTACCTGTTGCTAAGCACCATCCTACCTCTGGGACCTCCTCAACCTGTACCAACTCGCTCACCGGCCTGCTTCGTGACCCCTACCCTAATTGCCCCCACCATTGGAAGTAGGGTTTACAGCCTATTGCCCCCCCCCCCCCCCGGAATTCCCTCTTGGTATCCCTCTGACTCACTGCCACGCTCATCTCTTTTGAGGTTCATCTCAAGACCTTTTTTGACTGTGCCTTTGGGCCTTTGGTCACCTTTCCCTCCCCTACCCCCTCAACTCCTACTCCCGGCTCGAATGTCAATCCGGTGCCGTCAAGCGGCTTGGGATATCCTCCTGACATGAATGGCACTATATAAATGTAAATTTGCATTCAGGAGGAAAGGAGGAGAAAATATTGATAGGAAAGAATTGCATGAACAGAACATTAGAATTGATGTTCTAGGGTTTTGTAATCGAGCAGAGCTGTTGTGTTTTAATGTTTCGTTGAAAGTATCAAATGCTTGTTTTATTTGTGTTGCTGCCTTCATCTGTTGGATTATATAGCAAATGAAAACAGTCTGTAAATGCTGCAGCGCCAAAACAACAAGGTGATGAATGACTGATCAAAAGGCATGTCGCAAACCCATGTTCAAAATGTGCAAATCAATTTTCCTTAACATCCAGTGCAGACTTACCGTCTTTGTGTTATGTCTGCTCATAAAAGTAAAATGAATGATCACTTTTCCTCTTGCCGTCCACGAGGTGGATTTTCAAGTGTTAGTCTTTATATTATTTTTTATTTGCAGTGTTTAGAAATGTGGCTGTTTCAATTTTATTGTAACGTGTTTCTCTTTGACACCATGTGAATTTTAATTCTTTAATGACCACCTGGACAGGCAGACGAGACCTCAGAATTAATGTCCCACCTGAAGGTTGGCACCTTGAACAATGCAGCACACTCTCAGCGCTGAACTGAAGTGTCAGCTTAAACTAGATGGGTTCGGAAACCTGACATGGGGCTTTGAATCTGCAACCTCCTGACTCAAAAGGCAAAAGTGCTGCAACTAAGCCAGCCTGACGGACAGTTCAAAGACAGTTGGGGGATGAACAAGATGTGGAGGTTCTGCCCCGATCCATGACACACAGAATATCTCAGGTTGCTGTTACCATTGCCCAAGATGAGAAGGCACTGATTGGAGCCGAGCAGAAAAGCCTTGTCAACGTTTAATTGAAGCAAGTTAGGAGCTCATTAACTTTGCACCCGTTCTGAGCACTTCACTTTAGAAAAAAATGTTAGGACCTTGGAGGGGTGTAGAGGAGGTTTATGAGAATTAAAGTTCTTTGATTGTGCCATTTGACTGCTTCCCCTCCTACCTTCTCCTCATCTTCCAACCTCAGGCTCTCGCTTTGTTTCTGTGAAGCACTTGAGATGTTCAATGTGTCACTGAATGAGTTGTCAAGTTTTTAGTTGTCAAGTTAAGCTGAGGCGAACAATACTATTTCAGCAGGTGTGCTTGGGATCAGGTCAGCATATCTTGGAGTTTACATTAGGAATGATTTTAGATATAATAATAATCCTTGCATTTGATATAGCGCTTTTCACGTCAGGAGGACGTCCCAAAGCACTTCACAGAACACACTGTAAAGTGAATTAACTGTATATTTGTGGGCGAACGCGGCAGCCAATTGCGCACAGCAATGTCACACAAACAGTCGTAGATTGAAAATGACCAATTTATTATTGTTTGGTTTTGGAGGGATTATTATTAGGCTCTGTGTGGAGTAAGGAAACTTGCCCAAGGTTTCGCCCTCTGCCTGGAATTGAACTCAGGTCTCTCACTTGCAAAGCGAGTGCTCTAACCACTGAGCTACAGGACTCCAATGATTTTTAGCAATGCACCCAAGGGTCTCCCAAGCTAAAGGACAATTTTTGGAGACCGCTAAATGCATTACCTCTCTGTGGGAGGATAAAATCAGAAGGAAATGGGAAACGATAATACAATAATAGATAGTATGCCATATGGGTGAAAGGAATAGACAAAACCTTCCACCCAGAAGGTTATAGTTGATCCGATTTTTAAAAAAAAAATCATGACATTTGTGTGGTAGCAGGGAGCAAATCACCAATTCTATGACAGTTTTTTCTCTCCTCTGAATCAGCTTCTGTTTGTCACTATGAAGTTGGTACAACATGTCTGAATGTTGTCATTACTTGAAATCTGTGGAGAAATACTTTTGAGCCAGCCTGGGCCCATTTCTTAGCAGGAGATTGAGTCATGTTGGCATTGGAAGTGAAATACTGGTTACTAGTTAACCACTGTGGAGTCCTGTAGCTCAGTGGTTAGAGTACTCGATTCC